AGCCCCAGATCAGGACTTCCTAGAGAGAAAGTCGATGTCAGATCGGGTCTACCTGATTAGGTCAATATGCTAGGGAGGAAAGTGCATCGAACTAGGTGCATTTCTTCTAATCCTGCTCTTGCCCCTTACACAGTTATACCTTCCTCGATGCTTGAATAGATCGAAGGTAGAAACATCTTCTTAGGCCGTATAGAGAAGTAATGATGAAGGGTGTATGTAAAAATCTCCCCATAAACTTCCAAGCTCAACTCTTTCCCACACCCACCTGGCACATCCAGGCCAGATCTTCATCAATTTCCTATCTAGGAAACTCTAATATCCTGAGCTGGGGTCACATTTGTATTCTCGACTCTCCTCTGGGCTCTCTCCTCCTTTTTGTTTCTTCTTCTTTCAACAAGTTGATAAAAAAACTCTCTTTTCTTTTCTCTTCTTTCCTTTTTTCCCTCACTCTCTTTCTGATATCAATCGAAAACAACACAATCTTTTTCTATCAACCCCGAAGAAGAAACCTACTTGTGTAACCACCAACATGACCTGGCCCCCAAGCAGTCATGCCTCAGTTGCCAGTCGCAAGAACCGATCTAGACGTTTGACGAAAAGGCTGATAACAACAATGCCTCCCCAACATCTTAATTAAGCTCTAACTACCTTGGTACAGCTACAGCTGATCTCCGTCCAGGTCACTGTTCCAGGCATTTTCTCAACACCAGCGACCCAGCGCCGAGCGCCGAGACCTATACCGAGGTGTTCAAGAAGAACTCTCGCGGCGGCGATGCTACTCTCCACTTGCTGTACGTCCACCTCGATAAGAGAGCCTTCTCTTTTAGGGAAGGAAGAGATATACTGGAAATGAACTGTTGGTAAATCTGCAAGGTCCCCCTTACTGTAACCATGGTGGGAATCAATCGCCTTTATTTGAATTGGCCTGGCTGTCCGGGCCAGCCCGATTTCTGCCCGATGTATTAGAACGAAAGAGCAAAGTTCTGCCTGTCCAAGGTAGCCCTTTCATTTGCTTGTAATGCTAACGTGCTACTCATATTATTCTGAGTGTGGATGGTACTTTTCAGGTGGCAAGGGAAGGGGGAATGATGGTGTACTATTGCCCACTAAAGACGAACAGAAGCTGGAGGTTGCCGTCCATGTAGGTTGAGGCAGAGACAAGTGGGAGCTGAGTATCGAAGGTGGGAAAACGCAGGCGAGCTACTTTATCAATTCATCTATATTTTCCACCACCCTTCATTGTTGCTTCAATGCTCTATTCTTCTAGCAGGTCGCCTGAGGAGACGTCTCTGTCTCCTCGCCCGGCTTCCTCCTCGGCCGTTCACGTTAAATTGAGTGAGGCCTCGGTTCACCTTCTTGTCTGATGGAGGCCTAGGCCAGATTTCGTAGGCATTGGTCGAGACTAGACCCAAGCCCACCAGAGGCATATGGGAAATGGGAAGATAGGCACTCTGAGGAAATTCAATCTTGGGTCTGAAAAGTGAATTCATTCTCCTGTTGATCTCCCCTCTGTGTCTAGAGGCCATATGCAAATGTCAGTACGCTCCTCGCCGCAACTCAACAAGTGAAAGGACAGGAAACAAGTGGCCAGTGGTCGACTACTATAACTCGTAGAAAGCCATTGTAACGCTCCTTCAAGAATTGGCAAGCGGCGGATCGGTTAACCGATGGGAATCAATGGCGGGAAATAGGAGTTTCCGACGGAATGGAAAACGGCGAACGGCGTTTTGACATGTCCGCGTAAGAAGCACACAGGAAAGAGAGAAAAGATGGCCTTTTCCATCCAAGCCCACAATGAGAAATCCATGCCTCCGTCCCACCGAGAGTCTATTCCTACTTCTTAGGAAGTACTCCCGAGTCCCCGAGCCACTAACGACTCTTCTATCACCATCACCACCCTTTCTCTGTAACCTAAAAACCAAGATCCTACACGCGAAGTCTTATTTACTTTGATCCTTTTTCCATTTAGAAAGCTCCACTCTCTATTGTTGGCTTGCTTAGGTGCATCTTGGTGCCATTGATAAAAGATCATACTACTAAGAGCTGATTTACATCTACTATTGAAGATATTATGTAGTGAATCCCCTTTACTCGAGGAAGATCTGAATAGATCATGGCTTCATAGCAAAAAAGTATAAATATACACGCTCCTAATACCAAAATCCTAACTTCTAATTCCCTCATCCCCATCAACCTCTTAAATCCTCAAGTTGCAAAAAGCAAAGAAAAACGTATCAAACTACAACCTAAGTAAACACTCCAACCAAAACTTATAATTTCTCTGTAAGGGTCCATACCTCTTCCCTCTCTAACAAGCCTAACATAAAGTTACTTGGCAGGAATTTGACCTATACAACCGACATAATGTCCGCTCAACACAACACTAACAGTCCTGCCGCTGGTGACTGCGCCAAGCCCGTCAACTATAACGGGAACGGCAGCACTGAGGACTCACAACCGAAGACCTACCTTTGTCTTAATTGCGGTACTCGCAACTACGTTGGTGAGCCTTGTACTGAGTGTTATCCACGCGAATAAATACCACAAATGCAATATGATTCCACAGCGCCTGTTGCCGTAAAGGTGCGGCCACAAAGGCGTTAACGGGGTAATAGCTGCGTGCCTGGTCTGTTTGGCTGGATTATATAGCGGGACACCGACACGCTTAGTAGAAAGTCTATAGAAGGAAAGGTTAATAAAAGGGAGGTTAAGCAAACGCTCAGGTCTTGGTTTGGTGATGTGCTAATCTGCAAGCCCATCCAGTTGCTCAATGAGGCCTTGCCTCGATGACCGAAAATATTCCGGGACGCGTAACATCGGCTGAGAAGGTTACAAGATTCAGGACCCACGATAGGGTGTTAAGCTCGGCTGGGGTCCCAAAAGTTAGTATTAGGAAAGAAAAAAGAAAGAAGGAAGGAAAGCTAAAAACAACACGCTCGGGGAACCCGACCAAATGAACTCACCAAACTCAGCAAAAGCCAACCGGCCCGTTCCAACAGCTCCCCCGAGTTGGACCAGGCTAGAGGATATTGGAATATAAACACCCCCTGGGGGACACTTGTGGGACATTCCATCATAGTTCACCACATGAAAGACAGAAAAAAAAAAAGCTTGCCCGGCCACCCGGGCCTCTGCCGCGTCCCTTTACGTGTTAGTGTCTTTCGCGGGTGCCTTCCTATCACAAAAGGGCAGCCCTAGCCTAATCAGCCCGATTATGGCAAGAAAGCACGTTGAAACAGCTATCACCTAGTTTGCTGCCTCTGACGACCCCTGCGACAGGGGTACCGGGCAAGAGTGGGCACATGGAGGACAGGCGAGACTGCCTCCGGGAATAGTGGCGGTCGGAGCCGCAAAAGAGAGAGAGTCCATTCCCCCCCCTTTTTTTTGGGCTTGGGGGGGATTGAAAAGAAAAAAGAGTGTGGATGTCAATTAATGAAAAAGCGAAAGAAAAGAGAAAGGAAGATGAGTGTCGAAAATGGGTGTTGTATTAATTGATGTGTTGGAAAAAAAAAAGAAAGTCAGGAGGGCGAAAGAATTCGACCTCCGATGATAGCGTATTCCCCCAACCAAACCCATGACTCCGAACCAGTCTATTTCTAAAGCCTTCCTCAGAGGAATCGCGGGCGGCGGACAGTGGAGACACAGCGACCGGGAGTCGTTTTTGTTGCGGTTTCTTTCCGGAAAGGTGGGTGGTCAGTCGAACCGCTCCCAGCTATCAAGGTCGGGAATCGGGAATCGGGACGCCACTGTAATGACTCGTCCTGGTTGCCGTCGAAGGGCGGAATGCATTTCGGGCAGGAGTGCAAGGCACCGTGTAACAGAGCCAATATCCTCCCTCCCCAACCTCCCCACCCCCTAAAAAGGGCAGCCGGTGAGAAAAAGAATGCATACTAATTTAAGAATGGAAGAAGAAGAGACAAGAATAGAGTGTTGTATTGACGTGTTCAAGAGAGGAGAGGCATCGGAGGGCGGCGGCGGTATGGGGGAGAGCAGGGGCGCAAGAGGAGGGGCCTGGCCATATTCCCCTGCGCCCCCCCCCCAAAAAAGAGAGCGTCTCAACTGATATCTGAACAAAGTAGAAGAGGCAAGAGAGGAAGAAGCATCAATTGATGAGATTGATTGATGTTGGGGGATGTTGAGGAAAATAAAAAGTGACGAGAGAATGTCGAGGAGGAGGGCGCAGAATAATAATACAATCCCAGGTCAGGTTTTTCCTAGATAGGAAGTCGATGTCGGATCTGGCTGGGCTGATTGGATCAATTGATGTGCTGTGTGGGAAAGAGCAGCACTTGACAGATGACAATTTGAAGGGAAATCGCCGCCTGCATTACTGCTTCTTCTTGTTGACAGGGATTTCTATCTTCGATCTGTCCAGGCATCGAGGAAGGTATAACTGTAGGGCGGCAGGAGTAGGTTGGGAGTGGTTTCCTAGAGGAACTGTGGTGAGAATGGGAAAATGTTTAATGGGCCGATGGCGATCATCACAAAAGAACCTGTACTGAGAGGTATAACCTGGATAGAGAGCCCTTGGGAAGGAGATCCCACCAAGGGCGCCGACACGAAGGAACATATAAGGTCGGGATCATAAACATCAATATCAAAACGAAACAAGGCAAACAATCCCGGTTACCTCAAAATAGTACTGTACATGTGTGTCATTAGAGAAAAGGAGTCCCCAAACACTCAACTGCAGGAAACCCCTCCAAAAACCATCGTTATTCCGATAAAACGCTCCCCACCTAATTATTGCAACCGCTTCATGTGCCTCCATCAACTTGGCACTGCTAGCTAGCTGGCTAACTCTCGGGGGAATACCCAGACGATATATAAGCAATATATTCCCCGACCGCCGCCTCCAGAAAAAAAGAAAAGAAAAAAAAGGGCGTAGTTTTTTTTATTATTTAGAAGCACCGGGGGTCACCGAAGACTTCAAGGCGAGCGCCGAGGTCTTCCCAGTCCTCGCTCAATGCAGGCTCGTTGCTGGACAACAGCAGAGGCTCCTAGTCTACCTCAATCTTGTCAACCTCGGCCCGTGCCTCTTCCCACGTCTCCTTGTTCTTCTTCGCCCATTCGATTTGGCTCCGCGCATAGGCGAGCTGTCCAAGAAGTGTGGTTAGTAGGCTTGGAACTAGAAGGCAAAAAAAGGAAAGAAAAGAAAAGCGGGAAGTGCGTTTAATAAAATACGGCAGATTGTTTGTCAAGAGTACTGGGGTGGGGAGGGCAGAAGCTTACCATATACCGCCGGAGGTCATCCTCCTTCTCGCGCTGGAACCTCTTGAGGTCCTGCAAAGTACTCGCGCTCGCATCCTTAACATCCTGCGCAGACGCCACCTGTGCTTGCTCAAGCTGTTCAATGCTCTCCCTCGTCTTGCTAATAAGATCGCGACGCGTCCTCTCGGGGTCAACGTCGGCCACGCCTTGGATAGCATGGCGGATGGGTCCGAAGATCTTGTTCGTGATAGAGTTGCCGCTAGGCATCTTCCTGTGCACGGGAGTATTGGGGGTCCGCTCTGGAACGCCCTGTCTTGCTGACGGGACTGATCCGACGCCGTGAGTGGGTGGGAAGTCGGAGTCGAACGATTCCGCATCATCCTGGCTTCCGTCTCTTTGGTGTCGCGACACGGGCTCTGGAGCTGCCGAGGTCCTCCTAGGCGGAGAGGAGATTGTCTGGCTGCCGCTGAGGTACTGATCGATTCTTCGAGCTTCGGCCTCGCTGTGCTCGAGCTGGTCCAACAGAGCTTTCTTCTTGTTGAGGTCCTCGTTCGTCATCTCCTGCTGGACGCGTTTGAGAACCCGGTATCTCAGGACGCTCTTGACGACACCGGCAAACTGCGCATTCTCCCGCATCGGCTCCGCGAAGCTGGCACCCAGAGAACTGGACAACTCTTCGGTCGCAATGTACGACGAATCCGCGGCCTGGCCGATACGCTCGATCGCCGCGCCTAGGGTCGGCGATTGTTCTGACAGCGCAAAGGCGTTGTACCGAGAGCCAAGCTCGCAAAGATCTGCTGCCAGGGACGAGAGGTGGCTGAGGGTCCTTCGGTTGACCTTTTCAATGGGACCTGTAAGAAGTTGCTCGAGCTCTTTGATAGAAGCCTCGAAAGAGATGAAGTAGGGATCTAGCTCTTGTTCGCTGAGCTTCTTGTTCTCGGGGGGGAAGCGAGTGAGCGCGCCTCCAGAGTAGGGGTCAACATCCTGCGTAGGGGTAGCGTTCGAGGAAGTCTTCAACTTAGCGGAGCCGGCGGGTACCGGGAGGTAGTTGTGAGCGGGGGTAGGGTTGGCAGTATCGAGAGGGGGAGCCTTAAGGACAGACTTGGGGATAGACGAAATCGGGTGAGAGTGAAGAACCTCGCTCTATGTGGAAGAGTTGCCGTTAGGAAAAACAGGAATCTCATGCGGCACTTGAATGGCGGGCCCAGTTACATACCCAGCTGGCATTAGGGTCCAGGAACCTCCACCAGACACCGTCCGTCCTCACTTGTTCCATCCTCCGGCATCTGTTAAGAAACACGGCCAACATCCTCTTGCGTAGGTCGATAATCTGCTGGTCTTGCTTGGCGTTGGTAGGGTTCGCTGCGTAGTCGGCCATCGTGTGCTTCTCTGGAATGGGCGGAATGACGAGTGTCGGATGTAACCTAGTTAGAGCATCCCTAAGTGACGCAAATTCAGAGTATCGCCGCCGGACCTCAAGATCCTATACCTCAAATGTTAGAAAAGGAAACCAGCCAAAGAGGGGTTATTTCGAGAAGCCGAGGTCCCTGACGTACATCAGTTCTGATGGTATACACAATATAACGACCGCCGTTCTCTGGGCTCTTTCCAGCGTCTGTGATGAGGATGGGCAGCTCGGGGTTCTCGTAAAGTATCTGCTCGATGCGACTATCGTAGCCTCCGGGTTTCCTCCGAGGAACTAGCTCCCCGCGTTCCCGAGCCGCGTCCTCTTCGTCGCTATCATCATGCGTTCCGAACGCAGCGCTCGGCGGTTCGCTATCGGTCGTCGATGTCGGGGTGGCGGGTACATCGTATCTAGGATCTGTCGCGTCCCAGCTAGAGTCAGAACTTTCAACTTCATCATCAGAGAGCGAGATTGATTCCATCATCTTGGCGGTCGGGCCCGCTCAGGCTGGGAGGGGATAGAAATGGCGCCGAGCTCCCGAGAGGGTAAACCAAGATCGACTCACATCCTGTTGATTCTGGGGATGATGGATTGCCGGTCGGCGACAAGTCAGCTCGGGCGAAGCTGGTGCCATAGGGGTTGTTATCCTCGTCGTTCCACATGGCGAGCTCTCTCCGCCACTCTGCTGACAAGTAGGTGCAATGGGAGCGGGGTTAAAGAAACAGTCAAGCTAGGATACGAATTCCGCAGGCAACAGTGCTTCAAAGAGTGTGTTGAGATATGGAAGGTGCCTCAGTTGTAGACTGCTCCAAGCTTCCTGAATTTGGCGAGGCTTTGTTTTGCGATGGAAGATGTCGTCAGGGCTGACCCGGATTCCGGTGATGGAGGTGGGACATTTGGTTACTGGGCTTGGACCGGATGCTCTGTAGGTTTGGGATGATCTGCAGGCGCTCTGTGGCAGGAGCTGTAACTCAAAGTCACTAGTACAATACTTTCTACTATTCTAGGTATATTTGCCCTTTAGTACAAGGAGAGACATGTGAAAAGTACTTGGTATTTAGTATTGCTACAGTGTCACTTAAGATCAGTACTTGCAGATGGGGAAGCTTGAACCTGGTGGGCAGTTGTAATTGTCCTTTGCCTACGTAACTAAGTGAATTACTAGTACCTATGTACCTCAGTACGTTGCAATTTAAATTCAGGCAGACTCCAATGGACTTTCCCTCCACCCCACGCCGCCTCCCCACTCTTTCACTCCGGCCTGGTGAATCCAGTTGAGGTCAACTGCAACAGAGCTTGGACAGGAGCTTGAGTCCACATGGAAGTTGCCGAGGGCAAATGGTGAGCATATTGCAACCTCCCTCGGTATGCTCTGCATTATTCTCAATATATAACATTAATTAAGAAACCTAGCGAACCACTTGGCTACCTTGGTTGACTGGCTATAAAATGGCTTGTGCCTTTGATCCCTGACCAACAGATATTCCAAGCAGGTCGTCGCCATCAAGCTGTACTGTCTACCCTCAACTACTTTCTCTGAGCCCTGTCCTTTTCTGAAATCACCCATGCCGCCTTGAACCCATGGATTAGGCGACCGCACCGTCGCATAGAAGCCTGATCATCGATTGATCATCTTTGGCAGTAGCCCAATCCAAGGCAGTCTTGCCCGACTCGTCTTGTATAGACTTATCCGCTCCAGCCTCGAGAAGGACCTCTGCCAGGTTATATTGACCAGCCTTGGATGCGTAGATCAACGCCGACATCCCATTATTTTCAAAAGTGTTAATATCGGCCCCCCCAGTAAGAAGAGCTCTGGTAATATCCACGTTTCCATTCCGAGCAGAGTTAGCAATCAGCGGCGTCTGACCCAAGTTATTCCTCGCGTGTAAGTCGGCACCGCAAGATAATAACACCTCGACCGACTCTAACTCGCTATACAAAGCTGCATGGTGCAATGCAGTGTTGCCGAGGCTGTTTGTAGCGTCCAAGCTTGCACCATACCGAAGTAACAAAGTGATCACTTCGGACACTACCCCTGCACGGAACTGTGAGGGCAAGTTCCTACCATTACCGATGTCTCTGCCTTCCGTCACAGACTTAGACTTGATCATTTCTTCACCCAGTTTGTGAACCCCGATCACAGCAAGATCTAGGGAAGAGTGGCCATCAGCGCTCCTTTTCTCTAGGTCATCCACCACTTGCAGAATGTGCTTTATCATGTCGACGCTCCGGTACGCTGCAGCCAAATGCAATGCCGTCCACCCCGAACCAAACGTGCCCGTTCGGCAGGCCTCCGGATCACTGGCTACCATGGCCTGAATTACCTCAACCTGCTGTCTTGCAACTGCCACGGACAGGGGACAGGAACCCCACATGTCCCTCCTGAGGATATTAACGCCTCTCTGCACCAAAAGGATGGTTATGTCTGTAGACCATCTTTCAATGGCGTATTCAAGTGGCTTGCAGCATGTGCTCAGGTTTCCGCTAAGTGGTCTGTACGTGCCAGAGAAAACCCACAGCGGAGAGTAGTTTTTCATTTCCGGCCACCTGGGAGCAGTCGTAGCTAGAATCGCCCTGTCACAGTAGAGGTCTGCTCCTTTGTCCAATAGCTCGCGTACGAGTTCTATCGACCCTGCTTCGACGGCTATTGACAGGGGGGACTTGCCCATTCTATCCACGCGCCGGAGCTCTGCGCCTTGCTGTAGCAGTAGCTGGGTGACATCACTATGCTTGAGCTGAATAGCTGTGTGTAAAGGAAAGAATCCAAAAGCATGTGAATTGATGGGGAGTCCGGCATCGATAAAGAGACGAACTAGAACCTCGTTGCCGCTTCCCGTAACTTCTGTGAGGCTCGCGTCGTCCTCAATATCAGCATGGGTCCAATATGGATTATGTTTCGAATCTCCGAGGTTCACGTTATGCCGGGCTAGGGTATCCGCCAAGGTAGAGCGCATAGCAGCCTGGCCAAGGTCTTTGGAGGCAAGAGCAACAGAGATACTCCATTGCAAGATGATCCCAGCTACTCCATGGATAGAATCGACTACCATACGGCTTTCGGCCGTCCTAGACTTCAGGTCTGTACCCCTCAGCAAGACGGCAGCGTGGTTCCACCAATACTTCACGGCGTATCGCAGTAATCGGAAGGGAGCGAAGTCTTGCTGCCCTTTATCCTCGTCCTCGTCGGAGTCAGTAAAGTTATACTCGGAATCGGAATCGGAGATAGAGGCTGAATCGGACTGGTTTCTATCACTTGCTGTGGAGAGAGAGCTGCCGCTAGACCTTGTGGCTCCGAATCGCAGATCCTGATAGCAGCTTATGTAGGCTAAGCAGGATTTCATGATGTAGCCGTGTGCCCGTCGTTCATCTAGGCGAAACATCTCGAGGTTTACGGCACTACTCCGAAGGTATTCCTGAACCGTGAAGTGAGAGAACGCGACGGTCCCATCTTGACCTTCGGATACCTCGCTGCAGTCGTCGAGACCTGATACAGTTATCAAGCCCAATAAGATTTTCCGAACGCTCCAAATGCCGGGGAACCTATTCTTCGGGTGGTATGAGACGGTATAATCGCCATCGTTCTCGATGCCGGACGTAGGCTGCATTTCAAAGATGGCAATTTCGGCAACTTCGCTCAATTTGATCGGCCGCCTCGAATAAGCCAGCCACCACAATATATGCGCAGCCATACTAGACCTTCCCTGGAGTTCGATACGTGCCAATATTCTCGCATAGGTATCCTCCAAATCTTTGGGTAAGATCTTTAGAGAATCTTCCACATCTTTGTCTCTCTCCTTATCCTGAAGAGACTCAAGCTGGAGGGCTGCCCATCGGAAGACCCCATCCGCCTTGGACACCAACGCCTTGGCCACTTTTTTCTTGAGGGTCGCAGGCCAGCGTTTGTAGGGGTGTCGCCCCATCGAGCCGATGATGAATTTCTTGATGTCCTCGTTCACTTTGTCTACGGCCATCACCACCGAGGTTTTCGGGATTCGAAGTTCATTAATGGCAGCTTCGATAGGAGGTTCTCGGCGAGTCGTGACCAGAATATGGGCAGTGCCATTCGAGCCAAGGCAGAGGCTCTCAACAAGCTTGAGGACGGCTCTCTGATCTACCTGTCGTGGACATTCATCCAACGCATCAAGGACGACAAAAGTTTGCCGGGATTCGCTGAAGAGGCCTCGGAGTGCTGCCTCTACATCCTCGTCGAGAGGAAACTGCGACTTCGAATGGCGATATTTTTGATAGAGTTCCTCAAAAGCTTTGGGAATATAGAGATATCCGGGTCTCGCTTGGTGTTCCTTGGCAAGACAACGCGTAATCTGCATTAGAAGGGAATGCTTTAGCTGGCGGATATCCTGGGTCGCAGCGTCTCTGAACGAGAAGTAGTGATAGGCGAGAGCTCCAGCCCCTTCACTCTCGAGTTTATCAATCACTGAGGATGATAGCACAGTCTTTCCTGAGCCAGCTATTGACCAAAACACCATTCTTTGTTAGCACGCTACAATTCAATTACTTCTCCTAGGCGTTTTACTACTCACGCTTGCCGGTAAGACAGATAAACGAGCTGGGCTCCTCTTTCCATCGCCCGTAGTATTGCGTCAGGAACCACTGGCCGCTCGAGCTCTCGGTCCTATGTTTGCGAGCATCAACGTGATATTGTAGATAGTCAAGAGTCTTAAGCCAGCCCATGTGGCTATCAGCTTCTGCTTTCGACAGAAGTTCTATGAAAAAATTGGCTTTTAGTACGCGCCAATACACAATACGACTTAGGCCCGGGTTCATGTCCGGTTACCGGGAAGCGTACCAAATTCGAAACTCCTGGCCACCTTGAAGTTCTCAACAGCTTCCTTGACCCGTGGGCTTCTAAGATATTCCTCCGTCGATACCTCGATGACATCAACCTTTTGATGCTCATCCAATTGAACGTCAGATAACCCACGATCGACGTTGAAGCGGAAATATCTCCCGCCAACACCAAGAGCTTCCTGCGCCTTGTAGAACCTGACTTCCGTCGCTTCCGTTTCGGTGGCTATCTTCTTTAGCGTGGCGATGACCTCCTTCGCATTGTCTCCAAATTTCATGAGATCCGGCACGCCTGTACCGATGCTAACAAGGCAATGGATGCGACTTCGCGAGATAGCATCCGGCCAGATGGACTTTGCTTCCTCCAGGACCTGTTCAACAGGGTTGTTCATGCCTGTAGCGCCATCAACGTATTCTTGGATTCCGATTTTGATGGGGTCGAAGAAGGTTGATGCGGCTGACGTGGCTCGAGCGGCTTGCCAGATGGTGCAGCCAGATGCAGATATAGAGTCTACACCATCATCCGTTTCGTACGATCGCAGAAGAACAGGCGTGGCTTTTGCCCTCGTAAATGCGGTCACGAATCTATCTTCGGTTAGCCGAGATCGAACAACAGAAAACAGAAAACAGACAACAGAGAACTACCGTAAAAGTAGAGAGGAGGACTCACACTCTACAGCCTGGCCGCAAATCAAGAAGCTTCGCGTCAGGACTTTTGCCTTCTTCATGCTCTTGGACAACCTGTCGTATCTCCTTCTCGAGGACATCGGCTCTGTAGGCCCCATTTACTTCCCACTTGTCCTTGAGCTTCAGGAAGACCCCTGCCTTGGATCGCTTGGGAGAAAACGCGGCAGAGGATAACGCAATATACCTCTCTATGCATTCGTCAACACCCATGCGTAGCCGGCCAAGCATGAGGGCAATGATTCTATTGAGTGTAAGTATCCAGAATTTCCAAGCTACCGGTTACGTGTCGCATTCTCTCTGAGAAAAGTGTAGAGCATACCCTCCAGTGCTGGTACCCCCAATCAAGTCAAAGTAGTCACAGGGCTTGGGAGGGCATTTCGGGTCGATTCGCTTCATTAAATACTTCAGGACAATGAGGCTGGAAAGCCCGCGGATGCCACCGCCATCTTAAGTAGAAGAAGCCGTCAGCCTATATAGGTAACATTGATCACACAGGCAAGAAGTCCCTCGACAGGGTACAGATACATACCCAGCGACAGAAGCCTCAGCGGCGCTGGATGGCAATCGATGTCGGTAGTAGTAGTCGTCATGATAGATTGCTCGACCTAGGACGTGCCAAAGCTCCTTACGCAAGGATGGAACATATCGCAACCTGGACGCGGAGTCGGCTGGGCGCAAGGGGGGCGAGGACTTTCAACACTCTTATATGCTTTTCGGAAGACAGACACAAACATGACCAGGCTGTGCAGATACCCTAGTATTAACCCAATAACACTGTTCAGTTGTAGCCTGCATCAGCTCCCGTGAAGCCATTATGCAAGATGAAGCAAGTAGGAACAGTAAATAAGAGCGATGGATCCGAGATTTGAGGCGCAGTCCTGACATTGAGACGGATCAGCGCAGCCTGGCCATGTCTGCAACATGATACATCACACAGGAGCTAAATGAGTGTGTGGCCAATGATATTTGCGAACTTGTTTGGGCACAACGCCTAACTGCTTGACCAAATGAATTTGTTTGGGCACACAGCGCTTAACTGCTTGGCCAAATGGTGTGTCCGCAAAGGAATGATTCCCTGATGGGATTTTAAGAGAGTCTAGGTGCATAATAAATGGTCTGGAACAGTCCCTACTAGAAGCTGTTTCTGACTTTCGCCTGTTCTTTAGTTATTGTAATAGGATCTAACTTCTTCCTCATTCTATTGTAGTGACTGGTGACACTGATAGACCTGTCTTCTAAGCCCATTGCGAGGCCACTTTTTGATTCTCTTTTTATGGGTATCCCCCCTTTTCGTGTTCCCATTGCGGGGTTTCATCGATCAACAGGTTCGAGTAAGGTCTGTCGGTTCTTGCAGGAGCCTTGCAGCGGAAGAAGAAAAAGAAATAAAAATAGAACATTGAAGCCTCCCAGGGACACTAAGTTTCCACATCCAATCATCAATCAAGGCTTGTTGCACCTTTGAAGGCTAGAAACACTAATGGATGCAAGATGAAGGATTTATCCTCCTTGGTTCATAAACTCATTCCTCACACTACGTGTAATAAAATTCAGGTTCAGCTTCCGGCGTTTTAAAGTTAAAATGATTTCTGGAATAAGTCGCTGTGGGGCTTTAATACAGTGTGAAAATTAGTGTTTTAAAGTACCGATGTTATCTGAAGCCTAATAACAGGACCCAGTATTTAGGGTCTACCCTAGTACGGAGTACGACTCCTTGCAATAGCCCGACGTCAATTCCCCTGACGTAGGGGCCCCTACACCTCTGTGACAGGCAAAACACGCCTACAATCCCTCGATATGGCTCCCGACTTAACCATCCCAGCATGACTGGAGCTTACTCTTTATTTTTTTATGTCTTTGCTGGTAGAAGGTTTATACAGTAAGAGGTTCCGTCAATTATATTCAACTTTCGAAGGCTCGACGAAAACTTCTCGCATTCTCTACCTAGAATCGAAGACGAGGGGTCCTGGGATTAGCGAATCAGGACTCTCTCATCGAAGCGCTTGGAAACCTGTAGAAATTCCACGAAAATCTTTTGGTAGAAAGCAGTCGTGCACCATCGCCACTTGGTTGATCGGCTCGTTCGTCTGCTAGACTCGGCGGCTGGCTTGACTGGGCTGCTGCTAGAAGTCGAAACGTACTTATTTCATTAGACTGCAAGGAAAATGGCTGATTCAGGTCCGGAGGCAACGCAAACTTACGAATACACAGACCTCAGGCACGACGAGATTCGGGTCTTGCTTCTACTCCCAAGCGTAGCATGTCCTAATCCCGACGGCGATCAAAATATCCGATGCACTCTCACAGCCTTGACCTTGGACGATGTTGAGAGACAAGGCTATGAAGCCCTGTCGTATGTGTGGTCTGGTAGTAATGATTACGGATATTCAGATCAGTTTTACCCCGAAGAAATGGAACGACCTAATCAACAGACTCCAGCACCCGATGAATATAGGATCTGGTGCCAGCATGAAGAGGTTAGGAAATCCGGGTTTATCAAGGTGACCGCAAATCTTATCAAGGCACTCTCACGACTCCGGCATGCTTCCGAGACTCGAATCCTGTGGGTAGACGCGGTATGCATCAATCAAGCTAAGGACGCCGAGAAGGCGGCCCAAATACCTTTAATGGCCACAATATATTCTTCGGCTACGCAGGTGCTAGTATGGCTTGGGGAGACACTATCCCAGCCGATGGACATCATATTCAACAAACCCGATATCACCGACGCTGCGTTTGACCATATCTCCTGGGTAAACCAGCTTCAACCAAACATGAGAAATCTCGACACGTTTCTTTCTCTCCGACCCGGAGATTTCTTCAGGGTGGCTAGTGTAAGATACCAAATGTTTCTGGAGTTTCTGGCTCGTTGTACGTGGTTTCGGCGCGCATGGGTCTTTCAGGAAGTAGTGATGGCGAAGCAAGCGACGATTATTTGCGGTGGCCGGCAGGCAAGCTGGGATACATTCTACGAAGCCTGCTCTTTTCACACCCGAGGTATGGAAAGACGGAATGACTTGGTTAATCCTGGGAAACACATGGAAGCCACCCAGTTCGTCCTTGAGATACAACGCCTCCGCAAGCAGCGATCATTGTCCAAAATTCCGGATACGGTATGTTTGACAAACACTAGTCTCTGGAGGCTTGATCGACTATTACATGCGATCAGACCCAGAAACGCAACTTACTTGCACGATAAGATCTATGCGGTCCTAAGCATGGCAAGGGGTCAAGACCTCCCGCACGCAAACTACAAAGATAAAGTTATCAATGTCTACTACGATGCAGCTCGATGTATTTCTCGGAATATTGATAGGGGCTGGATTTCCGTCCTCGGCTACGCTGAGTTGCTCGACCAAAGTATCGCGGAGGGACTCAGTGGGTTGCCAAGCTAGGTTCCAGATTGGAGTCGGCCAGCCAATGCCAGCCCAATATCTTGGTATTCAAACTTTCGAGCCGCAGGTGACTCAGCTGTCGATTGTAAGGAAGCCGGCGTCGCGGACCGACCATTATTATCAATTCGCGGCGTCTATCTATTTACCGTTGATAGAGTCGCAAAATCATCACACGAAGATGAAGACGAGCCTATCGACCTCCCTTGGAAACCAACAGCGAGGTACCCACTCAGCAACGAGTACTACCTCGTAGCATACAACAAAGTATCAAGGCCAGGCATCTCAGAGTTAAGAAACCCACAAGAGGATTTCTTTCGTCCCCACCCAACGCCATTCTGGGAGAATTTAGAACACCATACTTCTCGCCAAGCAGGGAGAGCTGGGCGCGAATATCGATATGATCGCACAAGTTCCAGAACGGAAAGCATCCCGAAAACAGGTCTTCGAGTTGGTTTCACTCCTATGCATAAGGGTCGGAGGGTGTTTCTAGGATCCAGTGGCTGCCTTGGTTTAGCACCTTTAGCCACAAGAAGAGGGGATCACGTTTGTTTGTTTTTTGGCGGGGAAGCATTATACGTAATTCGACTCCTCCCGAATGAACATTATACATTCGTGGGTGAGTGCTTCGTATATGGCTTGATGTATGGCGAAGCGATGCAATCTCTACCCGAAAAGGAAGACAAATATTTTGTTCTCGAATGAATTGGACTAAATAAAGCTCAAGACAATTGGCGTGGGCGTATTAATCATACTTGGTCCTGTTTTTGGCGTTGAGATATCCTACTCCGTATATATCATTAGTACCTTAACACACTAATTTTCACACTGTTTTCAAGCCCCACGACGACTTATTTCAGAGTAGTTCTAATATTAAAACGCGGAAGCTGAACCTGAATTTCTTTGATGTCCCTCTGTCATAACCGTCCAGTTTCCTTTTGACAACCAACACCTTGAACTCCTTCCATCAAAATGGCGAAATAACACAAGAGTAGAATAGAAATCCTTCGCATGAAGAGAAAGAGGAGGAAACAAGCGACACCTCGGAATGAAAGAAAACAGACTCATGACCCAGGATGAGAAAACTCGGCGTGAAAGAACAAAAGGGAGACAATTCGATGATGATAAGCCACCGGTCAAATGGTGACTGTGCATGAGGCCGAGACTTCAACACGCCTATTTCCAACCTCGATTGTGATTCGTCGACGCCGTCCACGACCTATACAGCCAAACCGTTCTTCAGCATTCGGAGCCAGGGGTACCAGGGCCAGGATCTTTCAAAATACCTCGTCGGGGAGCCCGAGCCGTCGGCCGAGGAATGTTAGGCTCAGAGTACTCGTCGCTGCTGGAAGACATCGACGCCGAATCTCCCGAGACGGCAGCCCGAGCGCGGCCCCTCCAGCTTCGATCCGAGGACTGGGATCGACGGCCATTGACGACGGCGCGGGTGCTAAATGAGCTCGAGCTAGAAGCCCTCATGGGGCGCATGCTCGAGTCGTCGGACGAGTCGTCGCTGGAGCTTGGCTGCCTTCCACGGGGGTATGGGCTGGGAGGACGACCCCGGCGCTGTCGAGGCGGCTGGGGGTTGGAGCTGGCCTGAGCGCGGTTTCGGTTCGAAATGCTGCTTGCAACGCGCTTTCGCTCTTTGCCGGGCTGGGAAGCCCGGATGACTTCATTATGGTCGGACGAATCCGAAGAAACCCGGGGAGAAGGCGTGGAGTTGACAGGAACCACATAGTCGAGGGGAACCGCTTCGTTGTTCACCTTTGAGGCGCGGAGTCGAAGAGCAGCTAGGAACTTGCGGCACAAGCTCGTTCCAGTCTTGGCCCTGGTGCGAAAGACGCGCGCTCGGCGGTTCTGCGCATTCAGCAAACGGGGATGCGGGGAGGGAGGTCGCGGGAAAGCCCGGCGTCGGTTCTGTCTATAGTGGGCACGTCCGCGGGGAGTATCGCGGTAGGGGACAGTAAGGGCAGGGCGGGGGACCGGCTGCATGCAAGGAATCTGGACCTGTGCCTGTCCGTGGCGAGGGTCCGACGTGTATCCGGAGTACTCGGAATGGGGAGGTGGGAGCAGAGCTCGAGGGGGGCCTTGCGGCATCACTCCATGAAGGGGAACTGCTGGGAGTGGATGTGGACGGGACAGCATAGCCTGCCTCCTTCGGGCCGGAATGTCGACCCAGTCGATGGCAAATTCGGGGTCTTGTCGGCGTTTATAACGCACATACAGACCAAGCAAGACAATTGTCACCAGCATCGTACCCACGATGCCTCCGAAAATGACACCGAATTGCTCGGAGGGGGAGAGACAGGCCCAGTCTAGGCATTGGTGTCCGGTAGGCTGGATGGGGCCAACAGGGCCAACAAGATCCTCCTTGCGGACAATGGGGATTGGAGCCATGGCTACACGACAGGTTAGCATTTGAAAATATGCACATCAACCCTGGGCTAGAAACCACTCTACCTTGGGATTATCCTTGTTAATACTAATAGACAATGGTAATGTATAACAATGGCTAGTTAGTCCTTGTTTCTAGGAGAGTTAGATGTGAATTAATAGATGCTTTCCCGAAGGAGTACAATAGTGAAAGGTCAGTAGGGAAGGGCTCCTTTGTATGTGCCCTTGTGATGGGGTAGTTAAGACTCACTACTCAATGCTGGCCATCTTCACAGAAGACCTGAAAGAATACAAAGGCAACTAAACTAGTAGAATAGTTAGATAGATAATGATGATGGGGAGGTGATTATGGATACCAATTGTCCAAGGTGGTGATGATGTTGGGATGGAAGAAAGAAGGGTGTGAGGAGGACGACGAGGAGGAGGAGAAGAAGGGCTCGGTGTTCATGAAGTCGAGGTTCGGAGCCAAGGAAAAAAGAAGCTGGGGAACACAGAACTTGGCCTGCTGGAGAAAGGTTTGTGTGTGTGAGGGCTGAGAGACCTGAGAGGCAACCAGAGCAACAAGGAGACCATGTTGGGAGAGGCAGGAGCATGGAGTCTGAGAGGGTTAGATAGCTCCTTCCTTGATGGAGATCTCGAGGAACCTTAGTTGCAGTTTACAAGTTTGCAATGGGACGCTCTACAATCGTCCGAGAGGCACTGATACACTCATCTTCGATTCCGATGTCCATCCATTCCATTGTCTTGATCTAATCTTCTGAAGCAGACTTTTATGTAAAACTAAAAGTACAGATGAGGGATGATGCTCAATGTTCGAGGCTGCTCAAGAAGTTCTCTAATCTGAAAGTGCAATGTCCTCCCTTCGCATTCCTTGAAATCTGAAAAAACCCTCGAAATAATAAAGAATACACTCGAAGCCGTAGAGACTAAGAGTCAATCCATCCTTATCCCATGCGCCCCCTTACTCGTCATCATCATCGTTATCAACATCCACCATACTAGTATCCTTGGCCGATGGCTCCGCGTCATTGTCGGACTCATCGCTAGCATTCTTAGCCTCCTCGTCTTCGTCCTCCTCGTCACTCTCAACGATCCGGCCCCGACGGGCTCTCGACCGCCGAGTAACCTCCTCGGCCTCCTCGTCTTCATCATCGCCAGCCCTCTCCGCCTTGTTATCAACATCCATCCTCTCTTCGTCGTCACTCTGGTCGCGAGCCCGGTCGTCCTCATCGTCGGAACCAAACGCCGTGGAAGACCTGTCGAGGTCCCTCTCGGCCTTCTCGAGAGCATCCTCGTCGGCATCGCCCTCCGACTCGTCGCTGTCGACAATGATCTCGGCCGACTTGAACTTGGTATTCTCCTGCTTCGTAAGCTTCCGCCTCCTCTTCGAGGGACGTTCGCCCTCGGATCCGCTGTCCGACTCAGCTCTCTCCTTCTTCTTCTTCTTCTGCGGGGTTCGCTTCGGCTTGGGCTCGCCAGCCGCGCGAGGCGCCGGCTTCCGCTTCCGCTTGACTCGGTCGCCAGTCTCGGAATCCGTAGTCATCTCGGCTTCCATAGCTGCCTTCTCTCGTTCCATCCTGGCCTGTGCCAGCTCCGCATCCTTAGCCGCGATGGCCTCACGCTCCTTTCGGATTCGCTCTTGCCTCTCGCGTTCCGCGTCGAGTGCCTTTTGGCGCTCCTCTTCCCTTCTCTTGAGCTCCGCCTGCCTTTGCTCCATGGCCGCCTGAAGTTTCTCCTTGTTCCTGTCCTCGTACTCTTTCTGGCTCGCGATGGCTCTCTCGAGCTGCTTTCGCTGCGTGTTACGGGCCATGTTGGCACGCTGCTCAACATCGTGCTTGGGGTAGGGTGTATGGGGGTGGGCGGCGATTTCATCGAGGGCCTTGATGGCAGCCTCAAGACCTTCAGCCGCCTCCTCGAGCTGTTCTAGAGACCGTTGTTTCTCAGACAGGTTGTAGATGGTAGAGGCGAGCTGGATTTGGACAAAGGCGACATTGAACTTGTAATGAACCTGGTCAGGTGCAGCCTCAAGTGCCTAGTACATTGCTCGTCAGTAAAACTTTATCGTAATTCAATTGTCTCCAAGTCTGGCAACTTACCTTCTTGGCACACTCCAGAGAGGACTTGTACGCATCGAGATCTCGATCGGTGCGACCCTTGTTGAGCCAGGTTCTTCCAAGGCAGGAGAGGATAACAGTGTCGTTCTCCTTGCCCTCTTTCGCCAACGCCGCCTCGTAGTGCTCAATAGCCTTATTGAATTGCCGAAGCTCGGCGTAGATATGACCCAAATTGACGTGGACATGAGTGTCCTTGATGGTTTCGCGAACCTTAACCAGGATTGCCAGAGCATTCTTGAGGTCCTTCTTGTCCTCAGCTAATGCAATGGCAATGCCCATGGCAGCGTAGGCGTTCTTAGGATCCAGAGAGAGTGCCTTCTCGAAGAATTCCACCGCCTTGCTGTAGGTAGCGCTCCGTTTCTGCTTCTCCTGGTCCGTCTCACGCCGCATTTCCCTTGCCTGCGCGAGATACAAGTTACCCATACCCACAAGCGCGTATCTATCGTGCTTGTCGTAATGCTGGAGAGTGTGCTTGTAATGTCGGAACTCAGGGTCCTCGTTTAGGCTGACAGCCTTCTTCTTTGTGACCTTGCCGAGATACCAACCGTACAGCGCCCTGACTTCGAGGTCGGTGTTGTTCTCCTGGTAGAGCTTGGCGACGGCGTCGGGTCCTTCCTTGTGGGGATTCTTGCGGAGCTTGATGTATGCAAGGCGCGTGCGCGCATCAATGTAGTCGTCATGCCGCGCTAGTAGCCGCTCGTACACCTCAATGGCCTGATCCGTCATACCCTGGGCCTCGTAGCTGCGACCTAGGTTGAAGCTGATGGTCGTAATAAGAGAATCCGTATCAGCGTTCTCATCCTTCGAATCGATACGGACACAAGCTCCCAGAGCAGCCTCAAACATGTCACTAGCGAGTTGGTGTTTCTCTGCCTGAGAGTAGAAACAACCAATGTTGTTCAGGAGCTGTGGGGGGAGATAAGTCCGGAGCACGGCGCGGACTTCAGCATCATCCTCCTTGTCTTGAGGACGCTCGGAGTCGGGAATTTGATTGATTTCCAATTCCTCGACTTGCTGAAGGCACTGCTGTGCCTTTTCTGGCTGATCGGTCTCGTACAGGCGAGCAAGGTTGAGTAGGACGGAGGTGTCAGGGTGGAGATTCTTCTTGGGGTCCTTCCAGGCGTGGCGAACTGTTTCAAGCAGGGTAACTGCCTTCGTGGTTTCAGAGGACTTGTCCTCCTTCACCTCAGCAGCCTGGTTGGCAAACACTTCCTCCGCGTAAAGAGTGCCAAGAAGAATGGTCGCCTCATAGTTCTTGGACAACTGAATCATCTTCTCGAGTTGCAATTTGGCTTCGCCCAGGTCGTTTCTAAGGACTGAAAGCTGAGCCGCGCCGAACTTCGCTGGCAAATAACCCCTCTCTGTGCCACCCCGCGCATCATCGGCGCGACGATAGAAGTCGCTCGCTTGGTTGATGTTGCCCTCGTAATGTTCCTTCCTGGCAAGTAAATACCACCCATCACTCGCGACGGCATTAACGTCGGTGTACTGGATGGCCTTGTGCGCCAGAGTGTCGACGTTGCCAAAGGACTTGCGCGACAGGAAATAACTCGCAAATGTTGCACATGTCAGGGGCAGGTTCTTGTCGATCTTGAAGGACTTCTGGGTGTACTCGGTCATTGCCTTCTTGTACAATCGGAGGAACTCGGCGCTGTTCGTGGGGAGGGAACCGCTGGCGTCGAGATAATAAACACCCAATAGGATGTTGGCGAATTTGTTTCCTGGATTGAGTTCTAGAGATCGCTCCCAGGCGGAGTGCGCATCGTCCTTGAAACCACTCTGCCAAAGGCAGCAACCAATTCCGATTCTCGGGTCAGGATCAATGAGTCCTGGCATCTTCCGAAGAACCTCCTGATATGCCGTCAAGGCCTCCGGGTATTTCTGCATGGAGTACAGAGCGCGCGCTTTGCCCATCAGTCCAAGCATGTTCTTTCCTTGCGACACCCTCAATGCGTCTTCGAAGGACTTGAGCGCTTGTCGGAGAAGTTCGGTTCTTTCGGGGTCGACCACCTTTGGTCCGCTAGAGGTAGACGGCGCCTGGAGCGATGCCTTAAGAAGCTGAAGCACGCCACGGGCAAGGAAGAGAGGGGGAAAGGCGGGGTTAATGCGCGACGCGTCGTTGAGGGAAGAGGTGGCTAATTGAAGATAGTACTCCTTTGTCTTCGCGTCGGAAACTAGGACACCTTCAGGTGCGACGCGAGGCGCTTCGCGACTCTTGTGGAGGTAAAGCCAACATAAGGTGCAGGTCATGCTAACTCTCTCGCGCGGCGTGCTGTTCTGGAGGACCTGGCTTGCCCGGATCAGCATCTCAATGGCGTGGTCGATTTTGCCCTGTTTCGCATAGGCCATCGCCACCGTCATCCAGTATGTTCGCGCCGCGCCTTCGTTCTCGAGTAGTGTGCAGAGCTCCGTAGGGTCATCGATCAGGACATCGAGGTTAATCTCAACAGCTTCGTCAAGCTGGTCGCCGACGGGTATGTCGATCGTCGAGGGGATATCGGAGAAACGCGCGCTGGCGAGCTCGACGCCGCCCGCGCCGTTCGTGATTCCGTTCGTCTCCATAGCTGATTGTCCGCGCGTGAATGTCGTCGGTTGGGATGTGATAATGGGAGGAGATGGTTGGAAGGGGGGATTGATCCCCAAGCGTTGTCGAGAAAATGGGCTCTAGAGAGGTGGATTGGAGGTTTGAAATGGAGGGAAAAAAAGGATACCTGGCTATGACGGGTGGATTTCCTAAACAAGGACAGAAAATTTGTGACCCATGTCTATCGAAGAGTGGTTGGGGGAATTGAGGAGAGAGTCAGGAGGACGGAGTTCGAGGTCGCGAGGAAAATGGATATGGGGAAGTAGAAGTGAGGTCGGCGTCGGGAAGGCTGACTCCCGATTTTTGGTTTGCGTCTCGAAGACGTGAGGCGGCTGGAGTTCACGAAGTCCAGGACCAGGCCTACGGTGGCCCGTGCTTGAGGAACAGGGGATTGGACTCGATACATGCATACACACTATATTGCAAAACAAAATATCATCCATGCATCAAGTTAGTAAAAAACACAAAATCGCATAATTGCATCTCCTCAGTAACCATGCCTTCTCCCTTGGGTATTCGCGATCCAGCCATCCAAGCCATCCATTTTGAGAAGAAAAAAAGATTTCCAATGCGCCTGTAAAACAAGAATTCGATAGTATGAATCAAAGCTATCTTCCGGGCTTCGAGTTGCGGGCTTTCCACGCATCCTTCACTCCCTTGGCAGCATTAAGTAGGTCCTGCTCAGTGACGCCGTCCTTGATACTCCGGATGACGCTTTGTAAAGTACTAATATGATTAGCTTCCGGCTTATCGTCACGGAACCGACTGACCCTCCAGCGACCCAACTCATCCAGATAGCATTCCGCCACTCGGTCGTTCAGCGGATCGCCTAGGCTGATGAGCTCTTCAAACTCTTTCTCGGATATGTACGCGTCCGCATACTTTTGGTATCGCGGTTGGGCATCCCCCATATACGCCCACAACTCCGCTCGCTCCAAAGTGTGGTAATCAGTATACGGGTCGGTAATGCCATTTGCAATATCGTCCTCGTCGGGCTCCACAGTCGGAAAGTAAAGCTTCAGGCGGCAGTCGATTGTATTCTCCTCGGGCGGCTTCCACTTGAGAATGTGAGGGTCGGTTCCGTGGCGGTAGCTTGAAGTGCGGCATGTGAATATGAGACCGTCGTTTCCGTGTTTGAGTATGGGTAGCACGTCTTTGAACATCATCTCGACTCCGTAGCTCAGTTGCATGTCCTTCATCAGAACTTCGAAGGGTTGATATTGGAGTTCGTCGGGAAATTCCTGAAACAATCTCTTATAGGGCATGTAGATGTGATCTTTCATATATGCAAGCCGTTTGTCGAGTGGCCTCTCCATTATGTTCTTCCCATCGATGACCAGACAATCGAATAGCAGGAGGCGGGGGACCTCGCGGCCATCCTCCATGTCCATGACCAGCTCACCATCGATGAGGGTCTGAATGTGAAAGCTCTGGACACTTTGAGGTGTCGGGAAGTGAAGGCTTTTGCTGTTGATGAACCAATACTCATTTTTCCTGTCAATGAGATAGTGTGCCTCCTTCCCAAACTCATCCTCCGTCAAGTAAAGGAGGTATCTAATGCCGTCTGACTTTTCGCAAACGAAATAACTGTTGGGAGGTTCGTTAGCAAGACCAAACTACCAATGTTATCATGGGGTGCTGTATAGAGAAAAGCTCGAATCATACTCCTCCTTCTTCAATTCTTCCAGATGACTTCTGGTAAAACTGACCGGTTGCGCCCCGGGAAATGACCTCTGGTGCCTGTTCAGAAGCTGTGCGACTTCATTCCTCATGGTATGAAGGACCTCGCCGGTTGCGCGAATGCCCGGCTCGGCAATCGACTCTATGGGACCTTCCTGGCTCATTTTAGACGGCCGCCAAGTGAAGCTAGAAAGCCAATTTTGATTATATCAGTGATGGAAGGCGCTTGAGAGAGTGAAGACGTAGGGACAATAGTCTCGAGCACTCTTCGATTGTTTGAGATTGACAATGCTACGAAGTACAATTGGAGGTGACTTGGCCTTATCGATAAAAGCTATGCTGACTAATTCTCACCGATTGGATGCGTCCCACCAATTGCCAGTCGTCGCAATTGCCATGTCGCCCTTGATGGTGCGAGATTATCAAACGTTGAGGACCGAAGTCCCCTAAAACGGAAAAAACCCACGAAAAACTGCCGGGGGGTGACTCCGACCAGTTTTGGCGCTAATATGTACATAGCTTGATCCTTCTTTTTTCATACTGCCGAAATCCCACCTCTTGATCCGATCCCTTCCTCCTTCCCAATTGTTCCAACATCAACGATTCGAACGCTTCATCCCCCAGGTGACTCTCTGGGACCTCTTGAAGTAGACAAAGACAAACACACGCGGTATTACAGCGCGTTATTCGCCAATCTCAAAATGGGAGAGTCTCTGTTTTCTCGTGCCTACTTCGATGCCGTCTATATTCCGGCTGGTCTCATTGTGTTCGGCACTTGGATCCTGAAGAAGGAGTATGTTCCTTATGCCACGGCTGTCGCGCTGGCCTTGGCTGGCATCAAGTTCTACAACCTCCGTAAGTTTGTCTTTGAATTGAAAGATCTAGGAACATGGTTTTGCTGATGTGTGTTCCGAATCTAGAGCCCAAGAAAGTCTTGATCCCCGACGTTTTCCAGGACTTTGAGCTTATCGAGAAGACCATTGTCTCCCACAACGTTGCTATGTAAGTTTAGTTGATGTTCTTATTTGAGCGACACAACTAATCTAACCTGCTCACGTTCTTGTTAGTTACCGATTCAAGCTCCCCTCCCCTACCTCGATCCTTGGTCTTCCTATCGGTCAGCACATCTCGATTGGCGCCACCATCTCCAAGGCCGACGGCACCAGCCAAGAGGTTGTTCGCTCTTATACCCCCATCACGGGCGATGACCAACCCGGCCACTTCGACCTGCTCGTCAAGTCCTACCCCACCGGCAACATCTCCAAGAACTTGGCCACTCTCGCCATTGGCCAGACTATCCGAGTGCGCGGTCCCAAGGGTGCTTTCGTCTACACTCCTAACATGGTGCGGCACTTTGGTATGATTGCTGGAGGAACCGGCATCACCCCCATGCTCCAGGTTGTCAAGGCCGTCATCCGTGGACGTGCTGCCGGCGACAAGACCGAGATCGATCTCATCTTCGCCAACGTCACCGAGCAGGACATTCTTCTCAGGGAGGACCTCGATACTCTCGCCAAGGAGGATCCCGGCTTCAGGGTCCACTACGTTCTTGACAGGCCCCCTGAGGGCTGGACCGGCGGTGTTGGCTACGTGACTTCTGAGATGATCACCGTACGTGTTTCCCTGCTCATTTTGTTTTACAAAACCATTCGTGACTTGACTAACAACGATGCCAGAAATTGCTTCCCAAGCCCGCCCATGATGTCAAAATCCTTCTCTGCGGCCCCCCTCCCATGGTCAGTGGTCTCAAGAAGGCTACCGAGGCTCTTGGATACAAGAAGGCCAGGCCCGTCAGCAAGCTTGAAGACCAGGTCTTTGCTTTTTAAAAAGATGTCATTTCGAGGGATTTTTCTGGAGTATCGAGTGTAGACAAAAATGCGATCGTTGGGACCTTAAGTATACCGCCTCCTGTCAGTTTATATACATGCTTTACTAGCGTGAGAGTTTGGAGCTGGCTTTTGTTTAACAAGAGGTTGATGATCATGTATGTTCTCTGGGCTCTTGCTTCTAGACTTAGATGGTATTTGATGATATAAAATCTCTATCGTCAAGGGAGTTGAACATGTAGCTTCTGTTTATATCCTCTCGCCGAGAGAGATCACAGGCCGAGCCAAGATATCAAGGTCAAAAGTCTTGTCGGTGGGCACCAGGGGCTTATGGGACAAAACGGGGGCGCTTCAATGACAGTTAAATGGTTGCCTTCGGCAACTCAATTTTATCGCTGCAGGATTCGCAAAGTTAATTTGAGTCGGTACAATTACAATAGTACAAACAATTGAAGTATCATTATACATTCGATTCCTTACATAAGCGGGCCTCATGCAGCAGGAGCTGTTTCCGGCATGAGCAACCAGCCAACGAAACGCCCACTTTCTCCCCAGAAATACATTGCAGGGAACTGCACCATTTCATATTACTATGTGCTTGAGACCTCGTCGTCATCACCCCTTGGGCCACCTCATCCGAGCTGTGCATTAACCTTTAATCTTTCCAGCTATCGCAACCTTTTATTTCCTTGAGTTATCTCATTCCCAATAGTTCCATCATCTCTAATTTCCACTTGGCCGGACGTGCCCTCTGTTTCTTGTGTCTTCGTGCACGTAGGTCAGGTCCGAAACAGCTCCTCTTCGAGGTTCTCCTGATTTACTTTTTCCTTAACCGGCTTTAAATCTCCCACGAATCCGACCTTTCCTCGCCTCGGAAACTGCCTGGCACACTCGCCATCATCGACCGAATCCGTGATGTTTTCGAATTCAAACGCCTATCTAGGCGGAAATAGCCAGCGGCCTGGCCAACAACAATATGGAAGTCAGTTCGGGATGGGAATAGGTGCCGGCCAACAGGGGCTGGGCCAGTCCCAAGCCGGGCCCTTCGCCCCTCAGCCGACCGGCTTTGGACAAGCTCCGTTGCAGCAGCAGTTTACGGGATATCCCATGGCGTCCCAGGCTACGGGTATGCCACAGCAGCAACAGCCTCCGATGCCACTGCAGAGTCAGTTTACAGGAATGCCTGGCCCACAAGGCTTCCAGGCTGCACCACCAATGCCGTCCATCCCGCCGCAGTATCAACAACAATTCCAGCAACAGCAGCAGCAACTACAGCAGCAGGAGCAACCCCAGTCGCAGGCGCAACCCCAGGCTCCTCAGTTCCAGATCTCCCAACCGACCGGCTTCGTATCGCCGAGCCAACTGAATCCACTTGCGCCTCCCCCGCCCCCCCAGAAGCCCCAGCCGACTGGGTTCACCGAGATGGCGGCATCTTTCCAAACTGGAGCCTCAAAGCCCGCTCCTGCGCCCCCTCGAAAAACCAACAAGATCCCAAACATTAGGTTGTCATTTATTACCGCGCAGGATCAAGCCAAGTTCGAGACCTTGTTCAAGTCCAAGGTCGGCGACTCGCAGACGACCATTTCCGGAGACAAGGCTCGAGACTTGCTTCTTAGGTCTCGACTTGATGGCGATACCTTGTCCCACATCTGGTAAGAATTCAGTGTTTCTGCGCAATTTAGGCATGGCAACAGCTGACACTAATCTTTACGCCAGGACGTTGGCCGATACCACACGCTCCGGCCAGTTACATTTCCCCGAGTTCGCACTCGCCATGTACCTTTGCAACCTCAAGCTCACGGGCAAGCAACTACCTACGACGCTTCCGGAAAACATCAAAAACGAGGTGTCGAGCATGGTAGACATTATCAACTTTAGCGTGGCTGAGGATGCGGCGGCACCATCGTCGACTGCACCTGACTTCAGCGCTAGACAGAACACCGCATCTCCACCCACGATTCACCAACCGCAGCCGCAGCCTTCGAATTCGCAGATTCTCCAGGCGCAGATGACCGGATTCCCCGGCCAGCAACCAGGCTTTGGCCAGCCTCCGGGCCTGCAATCGCAGCAGACTGGGTTCCTGGGCTTGTCCAACCCACAGGCCACCGGGTACAGCGGCCCTCGGCCTCCCATGCCTCCCATGCCCACAGGCTTCGGCCAGAACTTGTCTCCTGGGGTGGGTCTGGGTGGCATGGCGCAGCCTTTGAATGCACAGCCGACCGGCCGTCCAGGTCAGTGGGGACTTGTTAATACTCCTGCTTCTGGATTGCCGAATATCGATGCTCTCCAGGCTCGCATGATGCCTCAGCAGGGTCGCGAACAGTCAAACTTCACCACCGCAGGCCTTCAAGGAAATGCCGTCATTCCATGGGCAATTACAAAGGATGAGAAGCATCGATATGATGCTCTCTTCCGTGCTTGGGATGGAATGAACAAAGGTTTCATCGCGGGCTCTCAAGCCATAGAAATCTTTGGCCAAAGTGGCCTGGAGAAGTCTGATCTCGAGCGCATCTGGACCCTTGCTGATAACGGCAACAAGGGTCGGCTGGATCTCGATGAGTTCGCCGTGGCTATGCACTTAATTTACAGGAAACTGAACGGCTACCCCGTCCCCAACAATCTCCCCCCCGAGCTCGTTCCCCCTTCGACCCGAAACATTAGTCAGTCCATCGGAGCGATGAAGTCCATGCTCCACGAGGAGTCTGAGTTCCGAAAGAACTCGGGTGCTGCCCTGCTACCACAGCGGACTGGTGTCAATTATGCCAAAACTCATTCGCTTCGAGGCAATGTTGGAGGCGCTTATGGGCGGAAGAAGGACGCCACTAGTTTCAAGAACAACGACGATGATCTCGGCTATAAGTCGAGCGCGCGCCGTAGGATTGGGACTAGCTCGCCTCGGCCTGGCTCGCCCGCCTCCTCTGTAACCTCGAATGACGATCTTACTCTTGACCAGTTGAGGAAGAAAATCCGAGAAAAGCAAGTTCTTCTCGATGCCATCGACTTTACGGACGAGAAGCACAGCGAGGAAGACGACTTGCTTGATAGGAGGGATCGCCGAGAGGCAGAGGAGCTGTATCGCCGCATCCGCAGGATTCAAGAGGACATCGATGCCCACCCCGATGCGGGCTGGGCTTCGGGGGATTCCGATGCCGAGAGGCGTGCCTTGAAGCGCCAACTCCAGAATTTGACCGATCGCATCCCCCAGCTTGCGTCCGAAGTCCGGAAAACCGAGAAGGCCATTGCTGACGCGCGCCTGGAGCTGTTCCGATTGAAAGATGCCAAGGCTCATCCCGGGAGTGCCGCCGCAATCATTGGTACCGGGCCTGGCGGAATGGTAACGGAGTCAGACAGGCTTAAGGCTAGAGCGAAGGCCATGATGCAGCAACGAACTGCGGCGCTGACCGGCAAGAAGGTTGACGTGAGCGGTGATGAGGATGCTGCCAAGCGCCTGGAGGAGGAGAGCATCAAGGCCAGAACCGAGAAGGAAAATAACGAGCGCATGGTCCGTGATGTGGAGGACAGCGTACGTGATTTTGCCAAGGGTCTTGAAGATGGTTTGAAGGAGGGCGCCAGAGACTCGACGAGTGAGCATGAGCGTCGCCGCTGGGAAGATGGTCTGGGTGTTGAGGACGAGGTCAGAGATTTCATCTTTGATATGCAACGCTCCAGCCGAGCTGCTCGCGTTCGTTCTCAGGACAAACGGACCACTCGGCCTGCTGAGCCTGTTTCTCGAGCTCAGCCAGAGCCCGCGGCGAGGCATGACACTCCCCCTCCACGATCCACAGCATCCCCCTCGACTGTGTCTGGAGGCAGCTCGTACTCGTCTTACAAGACGCCCGAGGAACGAGCTGCGTTCATTAAGCAGCAGGCCGAGCAACGAATGGCCGAGAGACTGGCTGCTCTCGGAATCAAAGCACCGTCCAAACCTGGTGAGACCGCCGCACAGAGAATTGAGCGTGAGAGGGCAGAGAAGGCCGCCAAGCTGCGACAGGCAGAAGAAGAGGATGCGCGTAGGGAGGCCGAACGCCAGGCGAGGCTTGCGGAAGAGCAAGGCGTCCCCCCGCCGGCCCCAGAGCCCGCCAAGACCGAGACCCGCAAGCCTCCTCCACCACCATCGCGAAAGGCAACCAGGGAACCTCCCCCAGCGCCCGCGCCCGCGCCCGCGCCTGCACGCGCAGCTCATGTTGAAGAGTAAGTCTTATATTCTACGTTCTTTACGTTTTTGTTCCAGTTACTAATGGTGCCGCTCTAGTGATGCGGGATCCAAGGATGAGCTTGCACGTGAGAGGGAGGCAGCTGAGGCACGCCTCAAGGCTCTCGAGGAGCAGGTACGACAGAACAAACTGAAGAAGGAGGAAGAGAAGCGGCGAAAGAAACAAGCGCTCGCCGAAGGCAGGGAACGGGAGGCAAAAGAACGGGAAGCCAAGGAGCGAGAGGCAAGGGAACGCGAGGCCAAGTTGGCCGCCGAGCGTGCTGAATTCCAACGCCGAGAAGAAGAGCTTAGGCGCCAACTCGAAGCAGAGGATGACGAGGACACCTCGTCCGATGAGGAGGGTCCTCAGCAGATAACCCCCGTCGAATCGACACCCACTCATGGCAGCCAGGAGCTGGAACGCGCTACACCCTCTCCTCAACCCGCAGTGGTGGTTTCACCTCCAGCTGTACCTACGCCATCCACAGATACCGAAAGCAAGAACCCTTGGTTCAAGATGATGGCCCAGCCTTCGACTACCGAGCCCCAGCAACCCACGACTGCTCCGGCACCAGTCCCACCAGCCCCGCCAGCTCCTTCCGAGTCTACCAACCCTTTCCACCGAATGGCCCAGAAAGCCCAAACTCCTTCCGCTCCTTTCGTCCCTGGCCCTACGATCTCGCGCAAGCGTGCTGACGACGATGACGATGGTTGGGGTTCTGAGAAGGCCGATGATTCCGACGATGAGTCTGACGACGGACGCCCTGGTGGTACCAAGGCTGCCCAGCTGGCCCAGATGCTCTTCGGCGCCATGGGACCTCCTCGACCACTCTCCGCCACGGGTGAGAAGACAACCTCTCCTCCTCCAGCAACAGAGACATCATCGCCCCCACCCGCGCCTCCCCCGCCGCCGCCAGCGTCAGCGCCACCTACGTTGACCACGGGCGAATCGCCAAGCGCACCCCCTCCACCTCCTCCACCACCACCGGCGGCGGCGGATGCCCCGGTTGCTGCTCCTCCTCCGCCTCCGCTTCCCCAGACTTCTGCTCCAGGTGCGCCACCGCCGCCCCCACCTCTGCCAGACTTCGGAGCTCCCGCTCCTCCTGGCCCTCCACCCCCGCCACCCATGCCTAACTTGGGCGGCCCACCTCCACCACCCCCGATGCCTAATCTCGGAGGTGGCGCTCCGGCCGGGCCTCCAGCGGGAGCTGCTCGACCTGCCGGGTTCCTGGGAGAGATTCAAGCTGGCAGGGCACTCAGGAAGACGACGACCAAGGACAAGAGCGGATCGGCACTTGCCGGCCGCGTATTGGATTAAGAACGGCCTCATAGGAACGGTCAAGTCAGTGCTCTAGCAGACCAAGTGAGCAAACCGGCTAATGTGGACTGCATGATTGGTTCTTTGGGCTTGAGCCGTCAATGTTGACACCGGACGGATAGAGCAATTGGTCAAGCCCCTCACACGTTGTATTTACTTCTAAACCTCTTTACATTCAGAAATCTTAGGTGTAGTTTGGAGCGGTAATTTGTTATACATTTTCTTTTCTGAGTAGAAAGTGATGCCTCGTATAACTAGAGACAGGGCCGGAAACGTATTCGCGCCATCCGTTGCAATCTTCGGGATCTCCTTTACACGTGCCATATACCCTGATGTAGAACGGCGGATGATACGCTCCGGTCCCTGGTGCCTAGGCGATGTCTCGTCTCTTGTCTCTCTCCTCTACTACTTCACAGGCCGAGACTCGACTCACAGCGTACGTTTGAAGACACTGACTAGCCGGCTACAAGCTCGATGAGAATCGAGCGAGGGATGTACCTCGGTATGTTTACATGAGAACACGAACAGGAAAAAAATTTTACGAGATGTCGTTCAAACGATGATTCCCCAGATCTACATACGTATTAACTCGTGTAAGCGGTCGCCCGAGCGGGATCCCGCATCTACGAAGGCGGGCAGGGAACCAAGAAAAAAAGACGGGGAGACAAACGCTATCCGGTAAAGTTTCTCCCTCTTTTTAACAGAGGCGGGGGAAACAGCTCTTTTACCTCGTGCTCGGTCGATGATAAAATTATCCTGAAACAAAGATGGGCGGACCAAACAGGGTCGAAGTCGCTCTCTTTCTGGATGAGAGGCGGTCCTCTACCGTTTTTTCAGTCTTCTTTATCGACACTTACTTTTTTCCCTTTTCCATTTTCCCGGCTATTCGTTCGCTCGAGGGGTCTGTGGGTTCATGTCTTGTGGATTGATCGAGTTTGAGCCGAAGGGAAGCCGGCGCTGGACTGGGATATACGAGGTAATATGATACGTTCGGGTTGGGTTATTGGAGTGGTCGCAGCAAATGGACCGGATGGAAGAAGAAAAGTTGAGACTTTGGGTGGGCTTCTTTCTGACCATGAGAGCGGCAACTAGGGTCAATGGACTATGAGATAATTACTGGCAGAACGCAATCGGGATTACCAAAAGTCGTTGCCAGTTATGGAAGCCATGAGAGTTGATCAAGGCATCAAAAAGAAGAAACAGCTTGAAGATAATATCCCTCAGGGACAGAAACTACGAAGCATAAGCCTCTCGGAGAGAGCTGGGGACCTGCTTAGCCAAGCCGATATTCTCCTGTCTAGCTCCGATCCTATGGAGATCGGGACAAGGAGCTGGGGAAAAGCAGGGTGATTCCCTCTCTTCATGGCGTGATGAAAATGTTCAGCCAAGCTTCAACGGCGCCCAAGAGAGTCACAAGGGGAACGAGGTACTCGATATTCGGTTAAGGGCACTTTGATATTAACCTTGCCAAGGTCGAAGTTTCTTCAAAGAAAAGTGACCAAAGGTTAGAAAACCGTGGAAGGAAACTCGGCGCAAGCCACTTGGAACGCTATTACTTTACTTCGTGCTAAAAGAGGTAGTCGAGCTTAGATCAAACCATACAGCATGCGCCATGTCACTGCGGCTAGGGTAGCCTAGTCTCGGCGCATAAAGATCTAAAGTGACCATGGGTCGGGAGAGCAGGGTCTTAATGAGTCTACCACATCTCTATCTGACGTCTGACATGACCCGGCATATCTGACGGGTGAGTTAGTACTTAGTAGTAACCATGTCAAGATCGAGGCTTCTCAAGGACGTGGCTTGGTATGCGCGTGGCATCCCACAGGAGTCCGGAATCCGACGATAACGAGGGAAGAGCTGACCGAGAGATCCGAAAATGTGCGATTGAGGATGGGGTTCAGAACAAGGTTCACGAGGGAAGCCTACTCCATGCTTTGTCGCGGAGCATTGCACGCTGCGCTGTGCGTAGGGTCGCGCTTCGCTCGCCGATGTTTCATCGCGATTAAGACACACGAAGTTCGAGGGCCTCGAAGGATATAGTATGTACAAGTACATTTTACAGGAACATGAGGACTGCAAAAGTCGCGTAATAGTGTATTGGGACACCTGTATATTCGTGATGTATAGAGTATAGGTACTTCAGACTTGTGCCCTGGCATTAAAGCTACCAGTGGAGAAGGAAAAGAGCTCACTCAAGCCTCAGGCACCCGCGCCAACCTTTGGAGAGTTTCTGACCAACAAGGAGCCAAGATAAATTCCTCCGAGCCCAGCAGCCCCACTTCGCACCCCGCTCTGCCGATCATGAGCTTTAATTGGCTGCCAAGGACCGTTCTTCTTTCGCGTTTCAAAACAACGCGTGTGGACGCGTCGATAGGTTCAGACTTCATCACTGGAGGCCACAGGTCGCCAAGGTCAGAAGTGAATCGCCCGGTCCAAACTTTTTTTTTTTTTTCCATTTTGCGTTTTCACCCGCACATTCCGTGCCCCGGACTTGTTCAATAGATCCTTGGATTTCTCGCACTTTTTTTACTCTTTCTCTTTTATTGTAAATTTTTTTCCCTCACATTTCATCTTTGATTCCATTTTTTCTCGGATATTTTTGGGGGACTGCACTAACACCGTAGGGCTCGACCTAGATAGAAATAGAGGGCTGAATAGCAAGCGCCGAACATTGTCGCACACGTACACCACGGGGGTGCTCTGAACTGCGTCTTATCTAACACCTCCTTTGTATCCCAAAAGTGCGCAGTTCGCGAGTGCGAAGTCGTCAATACGAAACCATGTGCATTAGTGACCTCGAGACGAAACTTGTTGGGAGAATGATGCGACCATTTCGTCTGACCGTGCCCAAACGAAGAATCCGGGCGGTCGGGGAATAAATCTGAATCTCGAAGCAAAAAGCTCAGCAGACCATCAGGAATTTTATGGGCAGAGGGAAGAATGGGCACGTCCATTCCTCCTCCCGCTCTTCTTATTAATCTGTGCAAAACGTCAGAGCCCACCGGGGATATAGTATTAAGACGTCGTAATCGATGCTAGAACGGGGCCAGGTCAAGTGGATGCTTGCATGAAGTCGCCAAAAAAGCTTGCATGGCGCCGCGCCGTTCCTATTTGTCGATTTGTCAAAATGGAGACGATCTGTTTGAGGGTTAAGCGTATCAGCGAGCAGGCTGCAGCCGTCATGGTCTCTCTCTCTCTCTCTCTCTCTCATCACCCAGAGTTCGTATGGACGGATGGGCTGTACTTCGCGCACTGCACTACGACTACACTACTCGACGTACGAAGTACTTGAGTGTAGGTCCACTGCTCGCCTGGCGACATTTGCCGGGAGGGGCCCCGCAAGTTGTTCAGTTCTGATGAGTTGCACGACATGCAGCAGTTTTGCACCCGTCGGGTTTCCCTAACTTGTGAATGCCAGTGACCTTGAACCTTCAAAGTGATTCGAGAGACTTGTATCAGCTGCGAGCGACCCAGACCAGAGACGCAGGGCACCCACTCAATATGAACAACCTGGGGGTCAGCCGTCACGCAATGCCAGGCAGTGCACTGCACACTAACTCCGCCCATCATCAAATTGATGTCGCTAGCGGAAAGGTTCGATTAAGACTCCTCCATCGATCTCGCTTCTGCCTCCTTGCATCGAGACCGAAGGTGGCCTGTGCTGTGAAGGAGCAGGGACGAAGTAGTTTACTTGTAGATTCGTTGAAGTCTCAACGACCTAAGACCATGGGCTACTTTCGTAGCTTGGGCCATTTCATAATCTCGAAACAAAATGACCACGGTCTTTCGTCATTCTTCCCTGGAGTCGCCCAGTCCTCGTCTTCGGTCTGGGGTGATCTGCCGTACAGCAGTAACCCTCGGATGATTCATCAATCCATCCTCTCTCTGGAGATACGCAACGTAGTAAAGAGGCATTGCACGTCGTTCCTCGTTCCTACCCTCTGTGAGACGCGCATCAAATTGAAACCCCTCATCTCCCGCGCAATCCTCCCCCAAGACCAGCCAGCCCAGCCAGCCCAGCCAGCCAAGTCCGTGTCTGGTCTGCATCGTTGGGCCATTCCTGCATCGGTCTTCCTTCCATCGCCTTTTTTCTTTTTTCTCCTCTGCCAATTGTCCTGCACCAGAAATTCAGAATCGAACAACGCTCGTTTCCCACCCCCCTGTCCGCTTGCACCTCGCATGCAGCTGGCTCCATTCAACCAGCTGCAACCCAGATTACACGGTATCCCTGCAGCACTTTTCGTGTCAACCCGCGATCCTATCAGCCAATCCATTCGCCGGGAAGTCCCACTCTGTGATTTGGGTGTGTGGCTCCTCATTCTGGGCCTGGAACAGGACTGGCCCGGCCTGGCAGCCTGCGTGTCCGGTCCCCGTGAATCGTTTCGTTGGGTACTATTACACCTCTTACAGTGCTACAAGACGGGCAGGCCAGCAGGCGGCATCTCCAGTCATACTACGAAGTAATTTAGCGGCTATGCGACTTTGCTGAGTTGGCACCCGTCACTTCCCAGCGATTCGTTTGGTCTTCTCCCAGAACTTGGCCTTGGCACTAAGAAAAGAGGGTCCATGATCCCATCTGCCCTTTTACTGGTCGAGTCTACGGAATTCAAGTACGATCCAAAGAATTAGTGGACGATTTAGTGGTATCTTGACGCACTTCGGAACGCTACGTTGTACCCACCCTATACGTTTAGCACCGAGGGTACCTGACTACCATACAATACCGACACCATTAGCACCGGGCTCGACACTACCCTCCACTCCACTCTATACTACCAAGGTACCTACGCCAGTACTACACGCACTACACTAGGCCGCTGTCTCGTCTCTCCCAGGGCTGCTACGTCGCTTTTTTCCTCACCACCTCTACCTTGTCCACTACCAAAGTACCCTCTCACACGCCCACACACACCTTCGGGCCTTCCCAACTCCACCTCCCAATTCTCACCTTCCCCCCTCCCATATACCTCAATCTTCCCCCTTTCACACGCCTTCAATCTTGTCACTCTTCCCCTCCCCTCTTCCATATCGTTTTCTCCTCCTCTTCCTCCACCTTTTCATAATTCTCTTCTTGCCTTGCCTCTCATTCCACAACAGCGATCACGGAACAATCTCGCCTTCCAGTACTCTCTCTCGCCGACTCCCTCACCTGCTCGACGCGTCAAGAACAGCATCACACCTCCGCTGCTGAGCAGTCGCACTACATCGACGATCACGGGCAAGACGACTCTCGATATCGATTTACCGAATCCTCGCCGCTCTAGTAGCCTGCCTATTTGGCAAGAAAACGGACTAGTCAAGGTATGTCGGATCATTCAATTCAATTCAATCGTCGTGTCACCCTGATACGACCTTCATTTCTGCCTAACTCGTCCACTTTGGGGTACTCGTCAAGCTCCAACGTGGGATCGGTCCTGACTGGATTATCCCTTAGGTTTCTCGACGTGTCCGCGAAATCAGACAAGCGTTTCGAAGCGTGTATTCTCGTAAAACACGGCCAAAATGGCCAACCCGACGCGATTCATCGCGCCCAATCAGCCTCTCCAGATTTTCCAGGACATATATTTCGAGAACCCGATGCAAATGGCCTCTACTCATCCCGCCATGCCTTCCTCAGTTCCCACAAATGCCGCTCCTAGGCAAAGGCGGCCTCTCCAAGCTGCGAACAGCAACGTCGTGCTAAATCCACCGAGCCAGCAAGGTCAGGTCAGAATGTCGCCTCATAAATTGATCCCAGCTCCGCAAGTGCCCCTAGCCGCCTTGACACCCTCGCAAGGCAACAAGCTCCAACCGATGCCCATGGCTCCACCCAATACGATTCACCATACCACAGACAGTCTGCAGAAGAAGCCGTTCCTTTCGAAGTTCAAGACGGTAGCACAAAAGCCTTCGATCCACAACTTCGGCAAGGAGAATATCCGACCCAACCTTTATCCCGCGCCGGGTCCTGCGATTGCGACCTTCGAAGCCCATGTGCCCGCCCAGAAGCCCAATGGAAAGCGCGTATTGATGGATGCCCCTAACATCAAGGACTCTCGACCGGCAAAGAAGGCCAAGTCATCCGACGAGTCGCAGAAAATCCCGATTCCGCCTCCCGATTCGTTCCCTCCCATCGTCGACGACGGCACGAAGCCCGGTCACAGCTACGCCACCCTTATCGGCATGGCAATTCTCCGATCCCCCAATCGACGACTTACGCTGTCACAGATTTACAAGTGGATCTCGGATAATTACTCCTTTTACAAGCCGAATGATGCGGGATGGCAAAATAGTATTCGACATAATCTCAGTCTTCACAAGGCCTTCTACAAGATTGAGCGGCCAAAGGATGACCCCGGTAAGGGCAATTACTGGTGCATTGAACCCGGACAGGAGCATACTTTCTTGAAGGAAAAGCCGACACGCAGGTTTAACACAACGACTGCCACTACCACCGCCGCCGAGCCAATTATCGCAGCCCGTCCTAGCACCGCACCGGCGGCGGCAGCCAAGCTTCACATGCTGGCCCAGGCTCCCATTTCGACTCCGGCTCAGACCTATGCTCATCCACCTCAAGCGCAGGCTCCGGTCGCCCCGCGACCTCAGAAGGGTCAAACTCAACCGCCGACTGAGCCCACCTTGCCACCAACCCAGTCGTCCAAAAACTCCGAGCAGCCTTCTCACGTCGCCCTTCCTCCTCTCCCCACTTCGCAGGCCACAATTGCTGCACCGGACCTCTCGTCCGATGCCACGATCCCCATCTCCGATTGCGCCGTTCCTGACGAGAACGAGAAGAACGCTGAGCTCGAGGCTCCTCTGGATTCGCTGTACTCACCCCTCCATCCCACGATGCACTCGTCGCCACCCATTCCTCGGCATGTCGATCTTAGCGGCGGTACCACCCCTCCACCTCTGGGCCGCAACCCGACATCGTCGGTTCCTCGGACTCACAAGCGTGCCTTTGCCTCGATGGATGATAGCGGCTACATCTCGTCCCTCGAGTCGTCCGTCATGAGACAGAAGCCAAGTTTGCTTACCTCGGAGGCTGACCGTCCTCGCATTCATCGCGGCCGCGCTGAGGAAGAGATCGCCCGAATTCGTGCGTCTTCTTACGATAGCCCTAGCAAGGGCAGGTCGTGGAATGGATATGCTCCTCCGTCTTCTTCACCACTGAGACATGAGACTACCCAGATGCTGCCGCCCCTCACACCCGCGGTCCAGCTTAAAGCACCCTCGAAGCCCCCTCCTTCGGTATCTCCAAACACCAACCTCCGAATCCACCGCGACAACGTCCAGAGCATGCTGCAATCTCCACTCCGCAAGATGAACGGGCTCTTTGAGGATAATAATACTAACCTGCCATGGAGCCCCGCATTTAACCTTGACGACTCGTTGTTTGGAGGCATGGACAATTCGCTGGACGCCACCGAATTCAATTTCCTAAACGACGACATATTTGGAGATATGGTCAACTTTGACCATAGCTCGCCGATTAAACGTTCTACGAAGCGTTCGCGGATGGATCGGTCTCAGTCTACAAGTGCGATAACGACGATGACCAGCCTAGACTTTACCGCCGCTTGCAAGACACCTATCCCTACAGTCAAGGTCTGGGAGGACTCGACGGCGCAGCCCCTTGACACACCTACCCGGTCCTTTGGCGGCTTGAACTCCCCCACGAAGCACCTCCTCGACTCGCACTCTCCGTTGATGCAGTCTCCGAGCAAAATGCCCAACCTCTCCGTCGCGCAAGCCGAGGGCAACTGGAACGCACTGGCGTTCGACCCATCCGACCTTCTCATCGAGTCTCAGGACTGCGGTATCGATATCACCCAGGGTTTTACCAAGATCGGCTCCGAATCCCAAAATACCGCTGTACCCCGAGGCAATAAGCCTAACTCCAAACCTGGTATCTCTAGGTTTTACTCCTCAGCTTTCTGAAAAAGAAAAACAACAACAACCAAACCCTCCCAATGAATGAATGGGCTTCTTCACTTCTTCTGACGGCTGACTGCCAACCGAGACTAGCAGTCTTGTTTAACCTAAGAGATATCCTTTATTGCCATGAGTTATGATGTTACGACAAAAAAAAAAAAGGCACACAAACACACCTTAACAGAACAGGAAATTCGATTCTGTACCCCCCCCCCCCCCCCCCCCCCCCCCCCACACACACACACTTCCTTTGGATGTACTGCAACCAGCAAGCATAAATTTGGCAGCTGGGTGAAATTATGGGTTGAATGCGAGGAAAAGGGACATGTGAATTCATAGATTATCTGTTAGCGAAACCGGGCGACCTTGTGGACTCCGCGGGGAGTTTCAATGGTCAAGTGTTTTTGTTTGTGTATCCTGTGAAGTTAGTTTCAATGTTGTTTTTCTGTTTCCTTTTTCTCCTTTCAAAGCGAGGTCCGGTTTCCTTGATTCTCTGTGGGATGGGTTTCTACATGTTTGGCGTTTTTTTCCTATCCGTCTCATTTTGGTTGGTCGTGTTTTCCTCTATATTGGAAACATCACACTCTCTTTTGGGCTTCCTGCAATGGGAAGACATCATAAGTCTCTTATTCCCTCTCTCGAGCTGTTTTTCCCTCAGAGAAGTTTACGTTTTAATGGGGCATAACTCGTCATGATGAATGATCGATGGCTAGGAATATGAGCCCCGAAATTTTTTTTCCTTGCGCCTTGTTATTATCCTTTTGAGAGCGAACAGAAAATGAATAAAATATGCGAATCTTTTTTGTCGTTCAGTTGTTTTGCTCTCGTTGAATTCCGAGTTCGTGGACGGACTCGTGTCTTGTGGATATCTCTCTCTCGGTGACATATAAAGGGCTTGAACCGTGATATATCTTCGTTTCCTAGTTATATTTAGGACTCGTCTGCCTCTGTATCCTGAGTTTCTTCGGGGAGAAGCGGCGTTGCCTTGTGAATACTGAGGCGGGCTTTCGAATGCTCAAGTCTAACCTCTACTTCCTCCCAATGAGCAAAATGAGGAGTCTACAACATGAACTAGCCCGTGCTCGCTGGTTCGTGCTACCTTCTAAACGTTTTCTCTCCTCCTCGAGGGAAGCGCTTCCCTCTATATGGGTATCATAAGCTGTATTCATGTAAAAAGACAAAAAGACTAACAGTTTTCTAACTTCGTCAACCCCACGTAGCTCGATCTGCTTGTACGCGGGTGCCGTTCAAAGACTGCGTCTTGCGCCGGACGCGTTTCCCGTTCCTCGGCGCTGTCAAGTGCTATATATATTTCCATAGTGAAAAAGGGGAAAACTCCAATACCATTGGTTCCTCGGACAGAAGCAAGATAACCTGCGGTCTCTCCAGTCGGGGTAAGGAGCCCACCTGCGTAATATAAACGTATTCCAGATGTGAAGCAAAGCAAAATCCCATTATGGGCGCTAGATTCCTTTCTACGCCACTCGTCATTCGCCAATTGTGCCAAAGAGCACTTATATCCCCTTCGTTCCACGGGGTTATTATCTCAATCGTAAAAAAAAAGAAAAAAAGAAAAAAAAGAAAGCCTCCGCTGTTGGAGGGGAAGCCTCGCCAGCAAGGGATCCGGTCGTTCCCGGTTTCAGCGCCGGGTTCGGTCTCGCTTTCGACAACGTTGATCTCTCTATCGTCTCGAAGCACCGAATTTGGGAAGACTCGGGCTCAGGTTCAGGTTCCAGGTTTAGGAAACTAATATATCCCCATCCGGGCGGCCCAGCCAGCTTCTTTCTGGTTGACGGTAATCTGATACGGGAACGGATTCCCGCTAGTCGCCGTAATAGGTGGTATGTGATCCTTATTCGCGTTGACGTACTTCATAATCTTGCGGACGGCAGCAAGTAACGTCTGCTCCATCGCTTGGCGGACCTTTGCTCTCTCTATATTTTCCGAAAACAAACGGCCTAGGTTAGTAAACGCTCTTCCGTCCCCTACCACTTCAGGAAACGTACCATTCTCCGTCTTCGGCTCAGCAACAGTAACTTTCACCGTCCAACACTCCCAACAAACCTCCTCCTCCCCCCTCACAATCCACGCCTTCCTCCGTTTCCTCTCCAGAAACTTGACGGTAATCTGCCCCCTCCCACCCCCTCCTTGCGTCCCCGCGGCGTTGAGACCGCCGAGGGCAGGCGACGACGAAGGGTCTCTAGGGCCGTGGTGCTGTTGCGCTCCGGCGGTGCTGCGCTCGGCGTCGAGCTGGCGTTCGAGAAGGGCGACGCGCTGTTCGATGAGGGTTTCGAGCTCGACGTCGTCGATGTAGGGGAGGGAGAGGGAGAGGACGGGGCGGGTTTGGGGGATTATTAGGGGGAAGTAGCGGTGGAAGAAGATGGTGTGGAGGATTCCTGCGGAGAAGAGTTGGGAAGTTAGCGCTTCCATTTTCTTCCTTCCATTTTTTATTCGTCCTTTCGTTTCGTTGTCGCTATGTAATGCTGAAATAGAGTGATGTTTGAGGGGTTTGTCGATTCCCCTGAGCTCGTCCGCTCACTGGTTCGCCAAGGGCACTGCGGTCGCTTCCAAAAACCAATCAAAAAGCGAATTTCGGTTTACCTTTAACTACATCCTTAACAGAGGCCGGATCGGCGAATGCCTCTAAGATAAATTCGGGCGGCCCTCTCTGCTCCATGGTGGCGCGGGGTATATCGGGGAGGTAGGCCACGATGTTGTGAAGTTTCCAGTTGGAGGCCGCCTCGGTCATGGTGGGACTTGGGGGGCCTTTATATGAAGCCGAGTTCCTTGTTCCTAGCAACCTTGAGAATATATCGGAGGCGGATTCGAGATTTGTTCTTTGTTTTGGTGTGGAATGTAGTAAGGGGCTGGATTCCCTTTGTTCTATTTTTCTTCTTTCAAGATCGGAGATGTTGAGTGGTGAGGGGCAGAAAAGTCCCCGCCATCCCAAACCGTATCTGACCATACGTAATTGGAATGAAGCAGATTGGAGCTGATAGCTGAACACTAGCTCCGCGCATCATCGCCTGGATTATTAGGCAAAAGTAGGAAATCAGGGCAGTGATACGGAGTACGAAGCAGATTACTGGAGATGGTGTGACATTTGAATCGAAATGAGCAGAGCATTTTCAGAATCATCATGACCATTTAATGGGACGAAATTCCTGGGAGAGAAAAGAGGCTTCCGATCAAAAATGGAAAATACTCACAATAACACATGCGGTTGGGAAAATAGTTCTAGCAATGCGACAAAAACGGGCTATTTGAGAAAAGATACTGTTACACTCCGAGGTACCTCAATGCTCCTGCGGCGTGCTGGAAGCGATGAAGTAGAGGAGCACTTTAGCGCTTGATTCCCCAATCAAGTCAATTCGATCAGCAATGAGACAAGCAATTTTCACGTGATCCGGAAGTCTGGGCAGGCGACGGTGATATCAATTGAAAATCTTGGGAAAGGGATAAGATCCCCAGGTGCTCGGGAGTATCAAGTCTTGGGACAAACGACAAAGCCATTTCGCTAAGCGTTGAATCCCTGGCCTTCTAAAAATTCATCTCAGACTCTTGCTGTCTCTTGGATCCCATGTCTGCCCAGCTTGGGGGAGGGGAAAGGTTGGACTCTGCGATCTACAGGTATTGTCTGTGAGAAGGAGCGCGTTGGAGATTGAATTATATTAAATCATCCAAGTGTCTTCCTGCCTGCACGAAGTTGTTTAAGTCTTATTAACCCTTGAGCTCTTGATCTCAATGTAACTGTTCCTGGTGGTTCTATTACCTGAGCTTCATTCGACCCATCAATTGGGGGTGCCGGGGCTGCAGGCCACTAAACACTGCTGACACCCCAGCCACTGTCTGGCGCACCCACCTGTCGACGGTTACACGCTGGGCCGAGGTTCGGGCCAGGCCACTTCGAAGCAAGCACGCACGCCTGCCCATCAACCTCACCAACGAAGCAAGAGAGCAAAGAAACCACTCCTCCCCTCCGCCCGGAGCTACCAAGTAATCATACACCTTGGCCCTTTTCTTCTTCTCGTCCCACCATCTATTTTTTGAACACACTCTTTTTCCTTTCTTTTCTCTTCCTTTTCTTTCTTTGTTCTTGATACTTTGCGCGTCCACTTCCCTGCGGATTTTCAACGATTGCCCGGCTTGGCTCGAGATTGGGTTCGGGGTTAGACCTCCAGCTATGTTCGCCGCAACACGGCGCTGGTTCCGCCGGAATCGCACCCCCATCGCAGTCGGCTTCGGCATCGTGGGAGCGGGATACGTCGTGACGCAATATGTCATTTCGAGGATAAACGATGCGCGTGAGCGCATGAGCAGCGATAGAATCGCCAAGGAGAAGTGCGTTCTCGTTTCCCTCTTCTCCTCCTTTTCAACTTCTCTGCCCCCCCGCACACTACCTCTACCGCCCCACATACTTCGGTGTCGTGTGCTCCAGCTAATAGGTTACTCCTAACTCTAGCCTCCGGCGTCGATTCGAGCAAAACCAGGAAGACTGCACCTTCACCGTGCTAGCCCTCCTGCCCACAGCGACGCAGCATATCCTCGAGACCATGGACACCGAGAAGATCACCTACGAAATACAGACGCTCAAGGTGGCCAAGAACGCTGCGACCGGTGCGCCGCCGCCCAGCATTGCCGAGACGAACCTGACCGATGAGGATGGAAAGAGCCTTGCGAGCATGCACAGTGAAAGCGGCGTGCACGCGAGCCAGATTGCCGTGCCTCCTCCCGCCGCCGCAACGGCAGAGGCGGCAGCTCAGGAACAGGCGCAACAACAAAAGGCGCGGAAGACGAAGAGGCAGCTCTGGGATGACTTGACGATAAGCTGTAAGTAGCAAACCGGAGAGAAGTTTATTACTATATGAGCTCCGGTAAGCCCGGGACTAACACTGATTTGCATAAAGCTATCTCAAGAGCCTTCACCCTCATCTATACCCTCGCGCTCCTCACTATGCTCACCCGCGTTCAACTAAACCTCCTCGGTCGGCGAAGCTACCTCTCCAGCGTAGTCACCCTCGCCACGGGATCGGCACAAGCCACCATCTCCCTCGAGGACAATGATGATATCAATCCAGACCAGGTGTACGGCTCCAACTTCGAGATGAACCGCAAATACCTTACCTTTAGCTGGTGGCTCCTCAACAAGGGATGGATCGGCATCATGAACAAGGTCGAGGCTGCCGTAACGGAAGTTTTCGGGCACCTCAACCCGCGGGATAACCTTACATTTGAGACCTTTTCTGAGCTCACTCTCCGTGTGCGCAAGATCATTGAGGGTGCCACTCCCGAAGAGAGGTACAAGGCCAAGTGGCTCGAGTACCTCTTGCCCACCAGGGACATGGAAGAGTACGTCATCAAGGAATCTGGCGTCATCGAAGAAGCCGACGGCGCCACCATCCCCCCAACGCTTCGAAGACTCCTCGACGAGACCGCCGACCTCATCGAGTCCCCCTCATTCTCGCACGTCCTCACCCTCCTCCTCGACTCGGGCTTCTCCTACCTTGTAGACCAAAAGGTCGCTACTCTCGCCTTCGAGCAGGCCAACCCCGCCTCGGCAGCGGCAACTGCCACGACCATCACCATCACCACCGCATCCGACTCCGAGCCCACCTCCACAAAAGCCATCCTCCTCCCCAAGATCCTCTCCGTCCTTACGCGTCAGGCCCGCGTCATCGGCAACGGCATGCCCAACGAGTACCTCCGCGAAATGGAGCAGGTGGCCGACCTCGAGGCCTTTGCTGCTGTCGTCTACTCTAGTAATTGGGAGAGCGAGATTACTGAGGAGGGTGTCTTTGCAGGCGAGGCCTCGACGGCAAGGTCGGCGGCTGAACCTGTTGTGGCGGAGACGGAGACGACGGTTGTGGAGCAGAGTGTCGTGATGGTGGAATCTCAGGCTTCGTTGGAGAGTGCTTGGGAGAAGGCTGTAGGCCAGAAATGATCAATGGAAAAGCCCGGGAGCGGTTTTGATATACATAAAACATGAGATCTTATTTGCTTTACGATGCTACGGGGCTAGAGGTTGCTCTTTATTCACATGGGAGCCGCATTTCGGTTTTCCGGCCGGGAGAGGGAAGGGTTGTCTCTCTTCTTCCTTCTTGTCTTGTATGAGTAGTGGTATTTACTTAGACTTATTTTGGCGGTTAGGGGTCTCGCTTGGGAGGGAGTATGAGTATGAGTTTTGATGGGCAGGGACATATCCTTTAATGCAACTCTACATATTGTATACGTTAGAACTACCTCACGAGTCTCGCTGGCGCCCATGTTCGTGCTCCTTCTATCATCGACGGGGGCCGGCGAGGGTGATTTCTGTTGTGCCTTGGCTGTCACTTGGATCGGCTCAGGATAAGGTGTGGGAGGGCTAACTTGGAGTTCTCGACCTTTGGAGGACCGATGTTGTATTCCCAGGCCATCCATCGCCAGGCAAAGCTAACAGAAACCAACCGGACCGCACCGAAATCTATATTACCCATAAAAAGTTTCCGTCTTAGATGCTGGAATGCCAATTGTTGAGAGACCAGGAAAAGGAATTGATTTGTCCGTTGCCATCAGAAAAGCAAGTTTAGCACAGCCCGTTTTCCAACAAACACTAGCCTGCCCGGTTAGCTCAATCGGTAGAGCGTGAGACTCTTAATCTCAAGGCTGCGGGTTCGACCCCCGCATTGGGCTCAAATCCCAATGCGCCTTCTAAGAAGGCACATCGACTTTTTTTTTTTTTTTTCTTTCTTTTTCTCTCTTCTTTTTCCCCATGGATATTTTTTACCCCTTTCGCGTTCTTCTTCACTATCTACGGGGTTTCTGCATCCTTGACTAGGTGCGTTGTTTGGAGAGTTTGAGAGTGCGACGCAAATTTTTGGGCCAAGAAAGAGAGGTATATCCGAGTTTATTATGAGGCATGAGATCAAGGGTATGAACAAAGTCATGGAGGCCTATTCCCGTAGACCATGTATGATTCCAGACGCCAAAGCAGATTCCCATTTCCCAAGCCAGCGGTCCAGCCTGGCCTGGTATAGCTAATGGCGTGTTGAGTCGTACACGTCGTTTCGATCCCGATTTCTAGTCATATGGGCCAGAGAGCCGCAGCGGCAACACCACGGATGTGCACGCTGTGAATAGGGGCGCTTTCCTAGGTCTGAGGTGCCAACTTAACCAGCGCGTTCATCCACAGAAGCCGAGCTTGGCTTCGAGATGGTTGTAAGAGAGCGCCACGCTCTCGTCTTGAACACTCTCGAAAGCTTCCGGTGGTTTCCGACCAGACGCACCGGCTCTCTAGCGCCCCAGACCGCGCGATTGCCCGGACCGCGACGGGTCTTGTCTTCTTTTTGGGTATATTTCCAGCCGTTCGCTTCACATAAGACTTCGAACAAACTGATCCAACCCCAACTCAAACAACTCATTCCTCACACCAGCACCCCCCTTATGCTCAACAGGAGCAAGAGGATTCTTGACGACTACACGCAAGCCAAAAAGTCAGCCACGCTTCAACAATGAAGACTCTTCTGAACAAAGGCAAACTGACCGTATTCAACCCAGAGGTTAATGTAAATCTGGTGCAGCACATTCCTCATACTCATAGACCCCGTATCCGTAATCATGACAAACCGCAGATTCGCTGGTGTCTCGTAGTAGTGGAGCTTGTATTGGCCCGTCCGGTAGGAGATAAAGGCGTCATCGTCGCCGCCGAGCTTACGGACCATGTTGCGGAGGGAGAAGACGGTTCCGAAGATGAGTTTGGCGTCGTCGCTGGAGGTGGTGGCGCGAGGCGTGGGACGGGAGGGGTCCGGGGGGAGCCATGATCGGGAGTAGATACATTCGGCTGGAGGGGGCCACGTTAGTTTTTGGGGTTTGGTTGGGGTTGGGTTTGGGCTTACTGTGGCGGTCGAATATGTAGAAGGAGTAGACCGGCATGGCGGCGGCGGCGGCGGTGGTGATCTCGGGGCGGGAGGCTGCGTTGTTGGTGATGGGAAAGGTCGAAATTGAGGTGCGGATGAGATCAATCATTTGGCGGCTCAGAGCCGCGTTACAGGAGCTTCCAGGCACTGGAAGCCTGTGCCGTACAGGGCCTGGTCGCAGGGGGGCAGTGGGCACACAAGGCGCTAGGCCCCCAACCGCTTAGCTGAAGTTATTGGTGGAGCGCGACCCCACCATTGGTGGATACAGAGCCCAAGTTCCTGGCTCGGGAGCGTCCAGCAAACAATCAAAACCGATGACTTCATCGATACTCTCAATTATTTCGCAATGAGGACTACTTCGTGGTGTTCTTGTGGCAATTTAGGATCTACTATAGTTACAATAATTTATCCCATGTAAGAACGTAACACGGACTCTTCTTTCCGGTTCATCGCCCACACCTGTCAGCAGAGACCTGAAGAGGCAATCTCCTAGTGCTCCATCATAATTTCTAATGTCAATACTATACTTTGTGTGAATACTAGCCGCCAACAGAACTGATGGCATACACCTCTTGCCTCGACAGTACTGATGCCTCGTAGAGCTTCTGTCGTAGAAAGCAGGCTCGTATGGATTAAGAGCTACTGGGTGACCTGGAGCTGGGTGAATCCGGCATGGGGCATAATCGTAGGCGCTCCACTAGAAGCTCACAGTTTCTGCTCTGCGGGCTCATGCGTAGGGAAGAGGGCGGCGGGGACTGTCCTGAGAGCCAGTCCTGCTCGAGCTCGTGCCGAACTGACTTCTCTCAACAAAAGATTCGGCTCCCCAACTTTCTCCGCCAGGTACGTCGACCGCTGCAAGGTGATGGTGCTCCTGCCGTACACCGAAAACACAGCCATGGATGTCTCTGACCGCGTTAGGCTCCACACCATGAATGGGGAAATGATCCATCCATCGGCTCTTTGGGAAGGATTGCACGCTGAGAGTTCGGGAAATTCATTTCCTTTTTCCTCTCCTCGTTCCAGATGCCCCCCGTTTTGGTTTGCCAGACCCTCGCCTTTTCGCCACGGCGCTGTGGGTCGAACTGTCGATGTTTCTAGTATCAGCTCGTCGTGCTGATTTCCGCGGGCGAGTTGACCTTTTATCACCACTGCGGTTTAGTCACTTCTTAAAAGACACATCTACATGTTTACATACGGGAAACTCACCCGGTCCTCGACCTGTCTTCTGTCCGACTAGGCATCCCTTTTCTCTTCTTAGCTAATCTTGCGCTCCGTATTCTACCTCCGTCGCGTACGAGACCAACGTTGGTTACTTGCGGGCTGCTCGTTTGGCCGTGGTCGCGGTCGAGTGTCTGGTCATGGTTGCGCATTTCATCGTCGGCATCTTGGTTGACTTTTGAAGCCTTCTCTTGCCTCTCTTGCCGTCGCTTGAGAAGACGGAGGCAAGTGATACACGGGATGAGGATTCTCCAGATGCTTTCTTAACGCTTCTCTACGTTCCTCATCGGTAATCAGCCCTGAAAATGGGATGGTGACGATGGAAGCTGCATCGGAGTCGTCCTCATCTGAATTTGAACGCATGCTAAACTAGAAATTAGGCTCCCAGAGAAAACAACATGAAGTGATATATTGTTGTTTCTCCGTCTTGTCTGTCAAAGAACACGCCAACTTTCTAACGCTTTCGGCCCGTCCTCCTCTATATTTATTGTGATTAGAAACCGACACTTCTTTGATGAAGCTCGAGCGCTTAACGAGAGATCCAACTCATGTGACTGTCGCTGGTTTCCAGATGAAGCTCAGTCTCCAAGGGACGACTCAGACACAAACCCCGCTGCCTCGACAATCACCACGGAAAATAATCATGTTCGCTTTGGGGCTATTGCGCTTCCTGTCCCCTTCTACCTGTATGAGAAGCGTGCGCGTAATCTCCCCAAGTGTTTCGTTTTCGGTCGTAAATCATCTCCCTAGTGGGCCGACATCTGGCTTGCTTGACCTGCCAGCAACGACATTAGTCGGCGCCATTTTGTCATCGGGCTAGTCAAGAGTCGCTTCTGGGTTGTCCGAGCCCTCGATAGCCGAATCATCGTGAACGACGAACTAATTCGAAAGGATAGGACCCTCCACCTTGACGTGAAAGCACCGAAAGATATCTTATCCACGATGCCATTTTTACTCTCGGATATGAATCGACGGACATGGAGATCGCGAAGCAATGCCAAATGTCACTGAAGGCACTGGACGTAAATGGCGCAACTATCAGCGTAGATAAATACCACCGATTCTACGAACACATGAGTAAGCGGCACTCGAGTCAGGTTGGGAGAGATCTCGCCTAGGCCCTCTTCGGCCATCGCGACGGGGGTACCCTTACAGTCAGCAGTCGCTTCAAGATGCCATACCATCCTGGCTACGGCTTAGTTAACGTGTGGCTCCTCCGCTATCCAGCGCCGCCACCAACGCGCGAGGGCATATTCGGACCTCTACTCGGCGAGTGCTTCGAGCTGCGAGGATGCCGTTCCATCGCGGGACTCTACCTTCCAAAAATCCACCTCGGCCCAATAACCGAGGCCATGGAGTTGTATTTCGACGAAACTAGCATCGGCGAAGTTAGGGACACCTTTCTCAACGAATTTACGTTTGAGAACTGGTATCTGCTCGCACCCAACGAGTCCTCCAAGATCTTCCCCGTGAACCGCGCTACGCAGGAAGTGATCACTTCGCTTCCCAAGGATGGGGACAGGTCCTCCTCCCCTCCTACTGTCCCCTTGGGGGAATTCATCAAAGCTCACTTCCATAGAGGAGCCTATCTCGATTCCCAAACGTCCTATGACGTCCAGAGCCTCGTGAAACCTATAGAACCCCTGGCCATGCTACCAGACATACTTCACTCCTGCGACGGTTCCGTCGGTTCAAGTAGTGACCAGGGCTTCAGATTCTCTGTCAGAAGGAGCAAGGAAGAAGAAATCCCAAAGCCGCGGAAAAGGGCGACCCAAGTTGTCGAGCAGTGGCTGGAAGGGGGGTCCAAGAGGCGCAGGGCGGATATCCAGCCAACGAAGTTTCGAAGGAAATGAGGATGAGTGGTGGTGAACATCACTGGTCAACTTAGACCAGCCGCACAGCGCGCATTTATTTTAAGACGACGTAAAGTTCCAGTCCGTCCAACGTAATAGTAAAGAAGTAGGCCATAAAGACATGGACATATACTTTCTATGACATGAATATTAGGAGAACGGTAAGACTCAACAATCATATTAATACGTCACTCAGAAAAGCTGCTTTTCTATTTTTTTAAAGCAGAGAGGCTCCCCACCCCAGATAACTTAACTCTCTCCACGAGCTCACTTCAGTACCTCGGTACAGCGGGGGGCTATAAGAAGGTCTCTTAGGTCCAGAGAAGAGGGATCTTAAGATGAGCCAATCATTAGCAAAATCTCTCATGCCGTCTTGCGTCTTACCGTTTTACCTTCAGCCCTATTCCGCAGCAAGTCCGGGCCCACAGGAGCGCGACTTTAAAACACCAGACGGACTTCGTTGGGCAGTGGAGTGTAGACCAAGACGTGATTCCAAGATTTGACCTTTTCAGTTTTTGGTTTTCTTGCTGGAGATGACGGCCGCTGAAAGATGTCTCCATCCATGACATCGCTCACCGCCAGCAACTGGAGTTTTTAAGGCCAGGCTGTCGCCAAGATTCTATCTGCACTACGAGCTAAGCATGCATTGTGCATTGTGCTGATGACGAAGTTAAGCGGGGTGGTATCAAAATCTCCTCAAATTTCGTGCCCTGCCAGTGGAATGTTAGATACCATCCCTCCCCGATCAACCCTCATCCGGTTTCCATCCCGAGATTCGGCATTGAAAGGGCAGGTCAAGCAAGCAGGTGTGATAGATCACCCCACGTCATTGTCACACTCGCCAAATACGCGGAGCTTCAGTTTAATAGGAGACAATACGAAACGGCGCAGAACACCGCGGTTGCAGCTTTACCGCAGCAGAAGACGGGTCTGCACCACCTCCGCGGCATTCGTGCGAAGAGGGCCTCGTTCGATCTAAAAGTGCGCGTTTTGTGGTTGCATTTTTAGATGGTCACCCTGGACTGGGCTGAATAGGGCTCGGTAATCGGGCAAGCCGAAAGAGATCAATACAAGTAGGCCGGTATTAGTGCAGTGCCAATGGATCGATGATACGGTGATCAATGAGACTTCACTATTCTGCCCTATGGCCAACATTTGAACTCGCGGTTTGACCCCTCTCTACCTCTGTACTTCGCAGAACTAATCCAGACTCAGATTGGGAGTTGCAGCTGCATCTCCTTGATGCATCCCCGCTTCAGTCTCCAATCGGGACTGAGCAGTCTTGTTAGATCCGTCCCATGAGGAAGGAATGAAGGAGAAAATAAAATTCGAGGAAGGTTGAGCCTGGTGCTTGCGTAAGACGATAAAAATGAACTTCAGTAGCCCTTTCCTCGGGCTTCTCTTGGTCTTTCCGTTCTGGTCTGGTTTGTAACAAGTACGAAGCTATTCGTAAAAGCGTCCAGTCCTTTCCTTCCCTTCCGGCGCGGAAGGAATGCAGTCATCCCCGAGCATTTGATCGTACAATCGTGCTGAACAAACCTCAATTTAGTCTGCGACGCGACACGGCATTGAGCATTGAACTTTGAAGGTCTAAATTTGTGGCGCTCCCTCGACACAATTGATTGTGAAGGTTTTCACTTCAGCCTTATCCCGCAACCGTTCCTCGCCATATTGTCGCCGCCACCGCTCCTCACGTAATTCTGCTTCGTACCTGATACCGGCTGCCACCACCCATTGCGTCCCAGCTGCAGCCCACCAAACCTCTCCAGACACGCCCTCCTCCCGAAAATCATTTAATCATCAAATAGCCCTTCCAGATTCTCCTTTGCACTTGGACGACACAAGCTCGACGATGGATTAGACCGTCCCCCACAGACTTCTACCTTTTTTCCTCTCCTCGAGTCGAACAATACTCGACGGCCGGTTAACTGATTGAGGAAGGAGAACCCCACTACCCCGCCATCATCACCTGGACTCCTTCACAGCAACTTGAGCCTGGCAATCACATCGGATCGATCACATCGCCCTCTCCGCCCACCACCACCCAACTGCGTTCTTGTCTGTTTCTCAGACCATGACTTCCACTCAAAGCTACTCGCCAGAAGAGACGCGCGACGTCGACAAGCTGACCTCGTCTCTTGCTGGTCTTCCTTCTCCTACCATTGCCGTGCAATCGCACGATGATGCCACTCATGATACCCGATCCATTGACGTTCACATGTAAGCCGAACCCAACCGCACCATTTACTTGCCTCTGTAACTCAGCCTTCATACCCTCTGGTGTACACGGCCCGTTTCGTCAAATGTTTATTCAGTTTTTATCCGTTTAGCTAGCCTTACCTAACTTTCATTTATGTATCTGAACCTGATTCGTTGACTCTGCACCAGTGCCTCTCAACCGAAATCGCGCGTGCGGTATAAGAGCCCAATCCGCCAACATCGTCGGACCCCCTCCCAGCATCGGGAGATCAAGGTGGGAAATATGCTTCTTTCCCCAATCTAGTGTCTGGAGAAACTGACCGGACCGTTTTCTTGTGGCACATCAGGAGACGCTTGATGCGCGGACTCAATACGCCAGCGATGAGACGGATGGTCGAGTGCATCACCGCATCAACCAATATGTAATTCAGAGAGAGATTGGTCGCGGCTCTTATGGTGCCGTGCACCTAGCCACTGACCATAACGGTAGAGATTTCGTAAGGACAACCTCCTTGCCTTCGCTCACAATGTCGTCGACTATGAGTGTGTGAGCCCCGTTTCAAGGTTAACCCACTCACCTCTCTTTGCTTCAGGCCGTCAAGGAATTCTCCAAGGCTCGCTTACGCCGCCGCGAAAGATCGAACATTCTCCGCCAGGGCCCTCGCACTCCAATGCGCATCAACGACCGAAGGAGTCTGAATGCGCCTTTGTCCCCTCACTTTTCCGATTTCGTCGCCGCCGCTCATGAATCCCGGAACGACGCCCTGTATCTGATACGAAAGGAGATTGCCATTATGAAGAAGTTGAACCATCCTAACTTGGTCCAGCTCATTGAGGTTCTCGATGATCCCGAGGAAGACTCGTTGTATATGGTCCTCGAGATGTGTAAGAAGGGTGTAGTGATGAAAGTTGGCCTCGGGGAGAAGACGACTCCTTACCCGGAGAATACGTGCAGGACATGGTTCAGAGATTTGATATTAGGTATCGAATATTGTAAGTTGGCCGCCCTTTGATACTCCTTGACCATCCTTTGACGCTCCTATGTCCCTCTTTGGCCTTTATTTGACCATCCTTTGTCCCTCCTTTGTCTCTCTCTTGTCCTGGCTAGATTGGTCTTTTCCCCAAATACATCCTAACACGAGCCCCCAGTACACCGCCAAGGAGTTATCCATCGAGACATCAAACCGGACAACCTCCTACTCTCTGACGACGACGACGCTCTAAAGATTGTCGACTTCGGCGTATCGGAAATGTTTGAAAAATCGGATGAGATGCGTACCGCTAAGCACGCTGGCTCACCCGCCTTCTTACCTCCAGAGCTCTGTGTTGCGAGGCATGGCGATGTTTCGGGTCGGGCCGCAGACATATGGTCCATGGGCGTGACTCTCTATTGCCTACGCTATGGAAAACTCCCATTCGAGAAGATTAACGTGCTGGATATGTACGAGTCCATAAGGAATGACGAGCCCGAGTTCCCCCCAGACGAGGATCCCGACTTTTTGGACTTGATGCATAGGCTATTGGAGAAGGATCCGGAGAAGAGGATTCAGATACCTGAGCTTCGGGTAAGTTGGAAGCTGGGTAGTCCCTACTGAGGGGCGCGTAACCGCTACGAGATTGGAATCCCTCTCTGGGCAGTCTCTAGGCAGTCTAGTGGAAGCTAACAACCTCGTGCAGGTGCACCCGTGGGTGACCAACTACGGCAATGCCATGCTGCTCTCTGTCGAAGAGAACTGTGCCGATCCGGTCGAACCGCCCAATGAAATCGAATTGAACCGCGCGCTGACGAGGAAGATGAACCATTTGCTCTGCGTTGTATGCTCCTTGCCCCTTTTCTTTCCACCGCCCGACAGTAGGATGCTAAATGCTTGCTGCAGATGAAAGTCAGATACAAGCTCAAGCTCCTCGTGGCACGCAGACGAGCCGCCAACAAGACTTCCGCCTCACCTTCATCTTCACCCCCACCCCCACCCTCTAACACCGATATCCCCAACGCCGAGGAAATTCAAGCCCTCATCGCTCAGCGCAACTCCTTCCGCAAGGAGAGAACCCTGCCCCTTACCGTTAGCACGTCTCCGGATGCCGAACCCCTCTACCTAGGTGTCGGCCTCGGCGTCAACGTCGGCGAGTCCTCCGACTCCTCCTCGACAGCCCCCTTCGGTACTGACGACGGCTCTTACTCCTCTTCATCGTATGCCGTCGTCTCGGACTCGCCTGTCAACGTAGATTTCAACATCTATGATCGCGCCTACGAGGAGGAACTGCAGCGCATTCTCACCAACCCCCTCCGGAGATCGAGCTCGGTGTACATGAATAATCATGTACGGGAGAAGGAGCAGATTCGGGGCGTCGACAAGGTGCTCGAAGGGGAGACTCCCGAGGGCCAGGGGCCTAGGGGACGGTATCCGAGACGGGGGAGGAGGAGTGGAGATCCAGCGACGGAGGGCACGAGATAGAGTCTTTTGCGGCTTGTTGGAGGGATAAGAAGGAGGTTAAGGAGGATCGGCCTTGGTAAGTCGGTGTGAACTGGCTCGCCGTCAGGCATTCTACATGTGGAGTCGGTGATATCGGAGAATGAATCATGGTGGTTGACGCAAGGCATTCTTTGGCTTTGGTAGCGCGTGGAAAATGGATCGAGTTTCGGGGTTTGTGAACGCTATATACTACGTTTCTTCATCTTTTGCTTTCTCTGTCGACCGAAGATACTCTTATATAAACAATACACAATCTCACTACACGAACATCCAAAGACGAAGGATTCAACCAATATGAATAGATTGTCTTGAAAACGAATATAAGTCAGGTAGACAGTTGAGAATATCCACTCACTCACTCCGATCTGCCCTACCTTGCACGAGAAATGGCCTCTTACTTACCATTTTCTTTCCCGGCTTCCTCTCATTAGAAGAGTAAAATATAGTTTTAAAAAAAAAGAAAAGAAAAAAGAAAAAACACTCTATCAATTTGTTGGCAAAAACATCCCCTGCATGAACAGCTTGACTCCCCATCCCCCCCAGACCTACTAAGGTACACCTATAAGCCAAGCATCGCCATTCTCCACACCATTCCCAACTTCGTTCTTGGCGCATATCAAGATTCAACGAAGTACCCGTCTCACCTAATCAGTCCATATTAATGTTTTTTTTTCTCAGTAAGAAGATAATATTCATAAGCACCGATAAGGAAACACATGTCGTAGTGATAAAAGACCGGACGAGCTGTCGAATCAGAAAAGGTGACGGAAGGTGGAAAAGACGGTGTAAGAGGACTTTTCTGCCAGCATGTCTCTCTCACCCGTGGACTGCAAGAAACAGGTCCACGGAGAGGTGCCTTGGCGTCGTTGCATTCTCCTGATGCAGGCTCGGAGAGCGAGAATCGGAGGACATGCCTGTTTTATATGCAGGACGTTGTTGACTTGGCATTGTTGAGCTTTTATTATGCAGGAGAGCTTTGTGTAGAGCTATCGCCGATGTGTGTGTGTGTGCGTCTACGAGTACTTCGTACGAAGGAAGTGGTTCTATCATCAATGCTAAGGGGGGTTTCAAACATTGAGGTAAGGGGTGTCTCTAGGTGAAAAATCCACGCCTTTCGTTTGGCCGGCCCCTGTCACTTTGGAGCTCTCATCAGGATTCCCGCTATTTTTAACCATTTTCTTTCTTTGGTTTGGAACGATGACCTGCAAAGTATCATTCCGCTCTCGCCTGTCGTGTATCTCGGTGCATGCGAGTCTGCGGGCTGCCAGAAAAAATGCGGCCCTCAAATCAACACGCCCTCGTGCTGTCGTTCCTTTCCCTCACTGGCTCTCACCCCTGGGGCCCTTTTTTTCCCGTCTTCTTTTTAACCTTTCCGTAAATTCTCCAGTCCCGAGTCCGGAATAGATCAGCTTTTTTTTTCCCTTTAATTCCCTACCAGCGGAGTGGTTGCGTTACTGCATGCCGAAACGAAATGATGCTGCGTGGCGCCGTCTGCCGTGTGTCGCCCTAACTTGAGAGAGCTCCCATGGATGCACACACCCCCTTGCCTCTCCTGGACAGCTTATTGTACGAAGCAGGACTCGGTTGGAGGCAATTTTTCCTCTCTCCCCTCTGATTGAAAAGAAAGTCGTTGATACTGATGCGAGGCTTGTGAGGCTACTGAACCCCGAGCCGGCCGGATGCAACATATCCTTGCTTTCGCCATGTTGCCCAGCCGCAAATTACCAAGTTCTTCGCACTGCCGGGGGGTGTGCGTGAAAGAAGGGAGGGTGTGGCGGAAGCACAGAGCTTCTCAACGTAACCTCTTCACCGAAAGTTGTCCCCTTACGAATCATGGAAATCCAATTTGCTGTCCCTGCCGGAATGCATCTGATATCTGATATCCAGGCACGTTGCACGTTCTCGGAACAGGTAGGGACGAATTGGCCCCCTGCTGGCGTCGGGGCAATGTCCCCCGGCGTCTCGATTCAATTCATTGACAGCAGACTTGAAGCTAGGTCGTACGCATAGAATAGAATACGAAGTGTCAATGTTAGAGAGGTCGTATATTGTCCCTGACAAGGACTCGAGGCCACCAAAGGTGTCAAGGTTGAAAGGACCGGATTCTACGCCACCCTGAAACAAGCCACGCCGGGTTTCCCATGGGAATTTTGTGAATCGTAATTGATCAAATTATTCTCCTAGTGAGCCGAAATGCAATCAACAATCCACAATCCACAATTTGATCGAAGGAAGCTGAGGGGGTGCAAAAGGCAAGGTTTAAGGTGCGGTGTGAAGGCGTGAAGGTGAAGAGGTGTGGGGAGGTGTGAAGAGGTGTGGGGTTAGAGAGATACAGATCCACACACCCCCCACGATTGGACCACACCTTCCACCCACACTCACATCCTCGCCCGTCTCCACATCCACATCCACGTCCACGTCCACGTCCACATCCATATCCGCAGTTGAAAGAAAGGGTGAGAGGGGGGTTTATCTGTAACCGAACAGCTCGCCACCCTTCCCGTCCCTGCCTGTGTGGGCGTGGGGCTCGGTGCCCGGTAGATGCGACCTGAGTGGATTGATTCCTCGAGGTCAACCGATACAGAAATTCGGTTGTGGTCTGCCCATCTCAGGGACCATACGCGCCAATGGCTATAACGTTATAAACTAGTTCAGTATGGAATAATCCCTCTAGGCATAGTCAGCCAAACAGGTAGCATTAAAAGTCATCTACGAGGCAGATCGATTAAGATGGACTGTGTGGCTTTCCTGGCACTGCCGACGCACACTCCGAGTTTGGGAAGTCGTGAAATCTTGTTCTGTCGGATAGCCAGAGTTAAACTTCGAGGGTCTCTATATTCTATTGACATTGATCAATGGTCCCTGTACAAGGGTGGAATCGTGGTGATGTGCCCCATTACATCATCGTCAAATCACTTACAACATAGCTCAAGCTTAATGTAGGCTCCAAGCCCACTCGGTTATCCATCCGCAGCTGTCTTGACCAACACTGGCATCCTCCATAGCCAACAGTAAACGCTTCAAACTCCCGAGGCCATGGCACCAGAGCAAGTAGTGCCCATCGACGGCGACGTTGACCTCGGGCGCCTCGGCCAGATCGTCCTCCCAAAGGGGTCCCAAATCAGCACAGCTCCTCCGCCGAACGCGAAGTGGATCCGCGTTCTGCGCCTCCTGCAAGCAGCCATCTCTCATCGCCAAGGAGACCCATCGGTCAGCGGGTTCCTCAACGAGGTGCGCGTTCGATACAGGAGACGATTCTTTGCCCTGGAAAACCCATACCGCGTCCTCCAAGCCGTCGCAACAGTACTGTACGATCAAGAGTGTAGCGGTGAAGATCCCACTGCCCAAGCAACCGAGCCAGAGTTCGAGGACGCCGTTCCCGGAGACAAGACCTTCGAACTGGCCGCTATTCTAAGGTTCATCTTTCCCTTCATGCTGTCGATAGACTACGGCCTCGGCTCAGACCCGATGCCCATACCGCCCTGGACGATCAACTGGATCTGGTGGCGACACGTGTGGCCCTCCGTACACGGTTTCAGCAAGTTCTTCACTGAATTCGTGGCCCGCTGGAGGCGGGGTGAGGTTCCCGATTGGAAGGGCTGGAGTTATTTGAATGAACGCTTTGCGACCTTCGAATCGTATGGCGTAGAAGACATGGCTCTTTTACTTTACTACTATCACACATCCCGTCGGCAAGTTGATTCTGCTGACTTCGCTAGGGGAGTAACGGGGTATACTGGCGTCGTTCAGAAGATGATTGAAGAGATTCCTAGCAGGGGGACTGACAGACTAGCGCGAAAGTTGTCGGCCGATGTTAATAGACTAATTCCCAAATTTGTTCAAGATGCCGACTTGAGGCGGGGAACGCTGGCAATAGCTGAAGGTTTAGCAGCTCGACACAACGTACCTCTTCATGGCCCAGAGGCCAATTTCCCTCACCAAGACAAGAAATCACCGACTGCTGAGTTCATATCCGAGGGGCGGCCTTCCGTCCCCCGCGGGCAAAAGTATAAAGTTGATTGATATTTGCAGATTGCCACTCTAATAGGCACAGCGTACTTTATAACACCGGCAGTACGATAGTTGCGGTACAGAGCCAGTGAGGTGTCCAATGAGGATCAGGTCCCTGCAGATATTGTAATGGGATTCTTATTTCTATCCATCTAGATACATGACATCCTAGTGGTTGTTGGGTCTGAACGTCTAACTTTTGTAAGTTGACTCGGCTCATAGCGGTTTGATGACGGTGGACTCGCGAATGCTTGTCCGATGATCAGAGCTGATGGTAAAGCCGTCTGATTGGCGACCGATTGAGATACTTGTGTAAAGGGATTGGCCAAGTATCGGCGGGGATGCGTTAGTCTTGATATAAATGGCTGAAGATTTCTAGAGGCATTCTGGCTTACCTGTCGGTGAGTGCCAGATGTCAAGACACCCGTCCGTGACATTAGGAGTCTGCATAAGATGGGCTGGACAGGGCAAGGTAAAATCCATGAAAAAAAAGAGCAAAATTCCACCACCTGAACTACCATCGAAACCAACGCATCTTTCTCCTCCCTCCTGCGCCCGGACCGTCGCCGCGAACGACTCCGCCTCCTCGGCCACACAATCCAACACGGCGACGACCAACCCGTGGCGAAGCCCTGCCGCAATCTCGGACCCCCGGCGATCAGCGCCTACAGCCAGGCCACGGGGCCGGCAAAAGCCCACCCCCAAAACAATCAGGCCCATGCCCCCAGCATCTCCAACCGCCACCAAAACACCAAGGAATCATCACCTGCCAAATACCACCCACAGGGCAGTGCTTGCCGCAGTCGCCCGTATCCTCGCCCACGATAACGAAGAAAGAGGCCCAAGGTGACAGCTGCCGCTTAGAGTGCCGCCTGCCGAATCGTTTCACGCATCACCACGATGCCATTTCCCATTTTCATGGTCGGGGCTTCAAGGATAGGGCCATTTCGGCTAACAGACATGGATTGTCG